TCACTTGTGATTCAAGCAATAGTTGGAGACTGACTGATGGTTGCTGTTGGCATGTCATAACTATTCCGTCAGCTACTACAACAGTAAATAGAAGCATGCGGATAAGGACAAGTACAAGCAGCAAGTAATTATTTCAATGCCTGCCTGTCTAGTATTATTCTCTGCGAAATGCCCTTCCTCTCTACAAAGCCTCTTGCTGGCACTTGTCGGCACTGGATTGCGCCTGTGTAGTCAAAAAATAGCCATATTGCTTCTTGGGCCATGTAAAACAATAATATCACGTCATGGGGATTATTATCAACCAAGCCTTATTGGCACCTTAATTTTTATTATTAGCTTTGCTTTTCCTCTACACACTAGAAACTCGAGGTATTTGCTATGTTCAGAATACTATTGCTTTAAGCCTACAACTACCATTACCCCTTGCCACTTTAGTAGGCAAAAGCGCTTGCGTGTTTCAACAGCAGCGGCAGTTTTATCCCACAGTAGTATTGCCAACCCAGTCTGACGGTTCCCCTACTCGGAATACGTAGCTTCGTTCTCAAAGCCTCGTGGAATGACTTGTCCTCTTTTAGTTACTTTGGTGTAGCAGCTGGTTTCACATCGTCCCCCGAGGGGCGGATTGCTACATGGATGACACGTTGCCATGAAGGCACGGGCCGAACCTTAAACCCGACGATAGTTAGACAAGGGCTCTGATTACGAGACCTAGGGCAAGGTCACTCACCGCTTCTTGATATAAATAAAGGTTTTTGGCCTTTAAAGCCTCAAGGAAAACCAAGGACCTGTGATATTAAGGCAAAGTATTAGCTGAATATGAACACTGTTCTAAGCCCCTAAACGCAGGCCCTTGTCACACGAATTTAGCTGAACATTCAAAGAGAACTACGACTCTAGACATGGGATACATTTGCTACAAGGAATAAAGGCACTGGTACAGTCCTTCCTGCTGGCAAGCTTTGCGCAAAGCTCCTGTTGATTGGATTGGACTTGTTCTTGGACTGATTTGACCTTTCCAAACGCACTCTGTATACACCTTTCGACAAGTTCATCATTCGTATTGTAAGCGTAGTAGCAACCTCCCACGATGTATTTACAGCTTTTCTCAGTTGCCCCCAGCTTGACAGAAGCAGGCGGATGCCTGTCTATAAATTCAGTTGGCGCGATGTGCCCGGCGAAATACATCTTTGATAGCTTTCTCGCAACTGCCTCAATTTTTTTGGAACTTCTTTATAATTTCTTTCCAACTATTCGTCTGGAAACTGCTTGTTTCTTTTTCAAGATAGGCCGTCACCTCTTTGTCAAATGCCTGGTCCTTAATGGCACCTGTAAGACGAGGCTCACGTTGGTTTATGATAAGGGCCTGAGGGCTAAGTAGACGTGCTTTGCCACAAGGCAAAAAACATGCGGTGAAGCTGTTTAGATCTGTCACTTATTGTCACTTAAAGACAGACAATTTTGGAATACAAGGTCTGTGAGCACTGTGTTGTAAAATTCCTTCTGTTTGCCACCGAATCTACCAAGCTACTTCTGCATTCACTACTGCCGTGTAGTCCAACAAGCATACTTATATACTGTGGTTGGATACAGCAATCGCAGTTGTACTACAAAGTTGAGCATAGAAAGTCTTTCTTGGAAAAGAAGGCAGAGACGATCAAATCATCAAAGAACGATTATTAGCGTTGGCCTTAATAACCGACTATAGCCCAGGAAGTCATTGCAGCAGAGCATCATGAACTTGACAAACGTCATGCAGAGCGATGAAGTTCTACGACCGTATGCAAGGTCACATTATTGCGCTTCTCAAATGATACGGCCCTCATCTCTCTATTGGATCGGGTCTTGAATAGAGTCCCAGGTGATGTCTTGGGCCATATTCAGAGTCGTATCTGGAATCTGACCAGCCAAATTACTTTCTGCATCCCGATACCAGCCTGTCAATGCCGGATGCGTAGTCATTGGGCCATCTAGGTGTGGTACACAAAACAATCGAAAGACACCCGCTACAGTGCCCTAGTTTATTCAGATATACTATTTGGCCAGGCTTGATACATGTTACACGGTTACACGAGGGCTATGATCATGAGATGTAAGATTTTCGGAGAGCCTCTGCTGCAAGTCAGACACGATTTAAATGGACAATATCAGAATAATCCACCGCCTTGATATGTCAACATCGTACTGAGAGGAGGCGAATGCTTTATTGTCAGTAGATAATTGCCGGTTTGTTTTCTCAAGTAAAAGCTAATATTTACACTTGGACTTAAATGAAAGGAACTATAAACCGGCTAGGATATTAGATTCGTCTATTATATTAGTTAATACTACTTTCAAGAAGTAGTATAATTTTAGAAATAAGCCCTTTTCAGATAATAATTTTTGCTAACATTACATGCAATATAACTAGGACTACCCTATATCGATTCTATTTGTGTTCATTGAAGAGGAGATTCTATTTCTACATAATATAGTTCAGACTACGCAGGGCTATACATTTACATCCCTCAAGTTTATGCACGGGAATACAAATCGTCTCTCTTGAATAAAGCATCTAATAATTCAATGCAATTATTATACTTTCATCATAAACCTTGACTTGGAAAAAAACATGCCTTGTACGTAAGAGTTGGTGCTAGAGCTACTTGGCCACGTGTGAAAGACTGAAAGTATACAGAATTACTATTAAAGTGCTACGTACTTCTTTGTGATACATAGATGTGCTTTTAGCTAAATGTACACTGTTCTTTAGAAACAATAATAACGTGAAGAATTATATGCGAATACCCTCAGCATCGTTAACATTACAAGGAGGGCCGGCATCACGGAGCAATATCGCAAATTGTGGTAGCTTGTGATCAGTACTCCTTGCCGAGGCAAACGTCGAGTCAACCCTGTCTAGCTGGTGACTCTGGAGGCAATATACCCGCCTCTTGATTGGTAGGTGTATGAGTATGACGGCTGCCCAAAACAGGCAGGCGTCGCGAATTAGAGTTGACGGCATCGATCACCGCAATGAACCTTGAGGTCCGGGGCCATGAAATTTTTCAAGACGGCCATCTTTGCCCGATATACAGAACCGCATTACGTTGCCACTCATAACTTGGTTTGGGAGCAGCCATGTCAGGATCACCACCACCATGCTGTCGGGACCCGGGAGTGGCCAATCGCTTCCCACCACTTCGCCCGGGACGTGACGTGCAGTGTCCGTGGCAGTCGGGCTGCCGCGGAGAAGTACTGCACATAGAATGGGCTTCTTGCAGCATCTGCGGAGCAGAGAGTTTGGGTCCCTGCGTTGGGTCGGCTTTCAAGTTGCAGCGTGGCGCTTAGGTTTGCCCACAACGTGCTGTGGCAATTTTTGATCTTGCTCCCCTTTAGGAACACGACATCTGGAGGGTAACTAACGGCAACCGGCTTTCTGCAGAGCTTGTCACGCGTCGAGTTAGTGCCCCATTCCAGGGTGGCTTGGTTTACCATTGGGTTCGGTGACTGGACAGCAACGCTGCCAAGAGTCCTGATTTGCATGTCCGCCTGATCACGTTGGATGAGATTGTGTGTATACGAGAATGCTCGCGATCGGCCATCTACCGAGTAGAGCCGGCATTCAACTGCTAGTCATGTGCTTTGTGTACCCTGAGCAGTTGCTCCGGCGAGGAGAGACGGAAGAGTTATGTCATCTTTGTGGCATATCGTCTTGGTTATCTTGCTATATTTACGTTGTATCTAAGACCAGACACGATCAAACCGGGCGGCGGGGGGTTGAGCGGCTTCTTAGCTTCTTGTCTCATCTGGACTCGGACAGTCACGAGTTGGCTAACCACCCGTTGGGCTGGTCGAGATCGCTTTGTCTCGACCGTATTACGTCCGGCAGCCTTGCTGTCACCTTGTTGATGTGGCGTCAACATGGTCTCGCGAGTGGTTGAAGAGGAGAGGAACCCCAACAACAAAAGTTGCGCCGTCTGTCCGTTCCGCGGGGAGCCTGGTCATGTTTGCATTCGGCCATGGGGATATTTGGAGATGTTTCTTCCCCCGCATTACCCCGCATTATTGTAAAGGCCAAGGGTCGACGGTGGGATTACCCCGTATTTCCTGGCGGAATATAGCTGACCTGCAACCCTCGGGTCGGCCATGATGACCACGGGCGACTCCGTACATACATTGCCTCCACTTATGCTGCTTCTCCTCCTCAAGGCGAAATATCACACGGCCACGCGGCGGACCACAATTCCCTTGCCGATCCATGTTGACGAATCGTGTGCTTCTCCGACTGCCCCGTTGCCATGCCTCCATCCAAAGCTGCCGAGCCTTCTGCAAAGCGGTGTCGAACTGACGCGCAGCTGGCACAGAAACGGCAAGCGGATAAGGTAAAACACAGATCGAACCGTGCCGAGAGCAAAACGCGGTTGGAAAGCATTGAGAGAGACGTATCATTTCTTCGGGATACCATAAGTGAACTTCTGGTTCAGATACGGCAGCCCCAGCCTGCGCTTGCCGAGGCCGCGGTATCCAGTGTTGGCCAATTCTCTCATCAATGTTCACATCACGAGCAACTGCAGTCCAGCCCATTGGATAATGACGCGCCTGTCTCTGTAAGTGACTGTGTGGTCCAATACTTGACCATTGACTCCATATCTTGACTGTTGCATCATGAATGTTTTAGCTGTGGCGCAAGGGACTTGAGCCTATCGAGCAACGTCTTCTAACTATAATGACAGCAGTTCATCAGTACTTGGCTGGAGCATGCAGGGAGCCATCAATACAGTACCACGGCTGCGCCAGCGCCGGCCAACACTTTTGTCACGCCTCAAAAAAGTCCTTCCATTTCCTCATCACCTTGCTCACAGCAAACGACACTAGTCGATTGTCGATGTGGCTTGCAGCATGGCCATCAGTCAGAATGCCTAGAACTGAAAAGCTTTACTGTCTTGTATGAGTCTCACAAAGCTCTATCACAGAGCCCGTTGCTTGCATTGTCCATTGCGCGCAACCCAACCTTGCCCAACATGCTCCTACACTCGACCAACGACAGCCCTCTCACCATGTTGATTGGCACAACGTTGAGACAGTTCCAAGCTCGAAATGTGGAAACTCTCTGTGGCTTATACTTGTTGGTCTACCGACTGTTGCGGGTAAGTCTCTCCACCTGCATACTATTGTAATTTGTCGCAAACGTGTCCAGAGCTTGAATATGTAACTGCTCACATTACTAAATGCTTTATTTGACTAGTGGCGCATATATCCAAATCCGGATTGGTATCACGACGTGCCTATACTAATGCGGCCAACTGAAGTGCAGAATACACACTTGCATCCTGTTTGCATTGACTTCTTGCCGTGGCCTGCTTTACGAGACTATCTATGCCAGAACCAGAATAAGGACTCGCGCCATTCTGTCGACCTGTACATGCGGTCCATCAAGCTGCACTGGCCGCCGGAGAAGCCGCTGCTTTGCACGGATTCTGGTGGTGCGGTTGAGCTGCACCCGGACTTTGAAGCTACGGTTTGCGATGCTCAGTCTTGGACATTAGTTTCTCCTTGGGCTGAAGCTTTTGAGCACTTGAAGATGCATGTAAATTAAAGATGTATTTGTAATACGTGTTCTTTGTTCTTCTGTGTCTATAAACGCCGCGGCCAACTGGCCTGCCAAGCGAAATCTACCAATGCGTTGAGAGCAAATTTACGTAGAAATGTACAACTTGACACGGTGCGCATGAGCCGATAAATGGATGTTTACAGACGCCAAAAAGCATCCAATGCAGAGCTGGCCTTGGCCTTGGGGTCATTCATGATATTCTTTACGTGTACCCAAGTAAGAACCCTCGGCGCAGCAATTACAGCACAAGCCGTGATTCCCAATGCAACGGCGCCGACTTTTCCGACACATCACTAAAATACAATAAATTCTTTCTTGTTTGATGCAAACCCGGACAAGATAGTCTAACATTTGTATTCGGATATATACGACATGTACTCATTGCTTATTCTAAATAAATACCACTCCCTTCGGCAATGCCATTATGTCCTCATTATGTTCATGTATAAATATCAAGCATCATTAAAAGAGCCGCTTATCCATCCTCGCTCTCAGACACTATGAACCCCGTACCCTTAATTCTGTCCTCCAATTAATGACTGGAAAATCGCTTTAACAAAATCTGAAATGGTAGCCACAAGCTATTTGTCCGAGTTAGCGGGATGCTTCTACACGAATGATCAAGGAGGGGGACTGCTTACAGGTGTTGCATCGCCAATCAACTCGGCGGTTTGGGATACAAACGTCTCGGTCAGAAGTTGTTCAGCATTTCCAAGCAAGCCCAAGACGCCCTTGATGCTCTTGGGCGTGATGAGCGGAGTGACAGTGTCCACGATGCCTTCAATGTCAATCTTCTTGACGGCATCGAGGATGGGTTTCACCGCGTCGACCAAGCCGGCCAGGTCAATCTTGCTGAGCGAGTTGAGAAGAGGCTTGACTTGTTTCAAGAGCCCCGAGATGTCGGCGCCTTCCAGGTCTGCGATGAGCGGTGCCGCTCCGTGAACAAGTGTCTGCGTTTCGTTGACGAATTGGCCGGTCAGGAGTGCTTCGGCGTTGGCCAAGAGGCCAATGAGGCCTTGCACAGTCTTGGGTGTGAGGAACGGAGCAAGTGTGTCGAAGATGCCCTTGAGGTCAATCTCGCCCAGGGCATTGAGGATGGGCGTGATTTGCTTGATGAGCTTGCCGAGATCAATCTCGCCAAGAGCGTCCAGTAGCGGCTTCAACTTGGTAATGAGGCCGGGAAGGTCGATCGTGCTGAGGGCACCCACAAGAGGGACAGCTCCATCAATGAGGGTATGGGTTTGGTTCACGAATTTTCCAGTCAGCAGATCCTCGGCGTTGCCAACCAGGCCAACGATGCCCTGAATGCTCTCCTTGGTCAGCAAGGGGGCGAGGGCTTCCAAGATGCCTTCCAAGTCTAGCTTGCTAAGTGATTTGAGTAGAGGTCCTAGCTGGTTGATCAAGTCTTGCAGATCCAGCTTGCCCAAGGAGGCAATTAACGGCGCCGCCCCCTTGATCAGGCTCTGTGTTTCGTCCACGAATTCGCCTGTGAGTAGTTTTTCGGCGTTGCCTAGTAGCCCGACTATTCCCTTGATACTCTCTTCAGATAAGAGTGGTTTCAGGGCATTTAATAGGCCAGCAAGGTCGATCTGTCCAAGAGTGGCTAGAAGAGGCTCAAGCTGGTTGATCAAATTTTGCAAATTCAGCTTGCCCAAGGAGGAAATCAATGGCGCCGCACCCTTAATTAGACTCTGTGTTTCGTCCACAAACTCGCCCGTAAGTAATTTTTCGGCGTTGCCTAGTAGCCCGACTATTCCCTTGATACTGTCTTCAGATAGAAGTGGTTTCAGAGCATTTAATAGGCCGGCGAGGTCAATCTGTCCAAGGGTAGCCAAAAGAGGCTCGAGCTGCTTAATCAAGTCTTGAAGGTTTAGTTTACCCAAGGAGGAAACCAATGGCGTTGCACCCTTGATTAGAGTCTGCGTCTCGTCCACGAACTCGCCCGTGAGCAGCTTTTCGGCATTACCTAGCAGCCCGACGATTCCGTTAATGCTGTCTTTGGTCAAGAGCGGCTTGAGTGAGTCAAGCAAGCCGGCAAGGTCGATCTGGCTGAGCGTAGCGAGCAGAGGTTCGATTTGGTTGATCAAGTCTTGCAGGTTCAGCTTGCCTAGAGAGGCAATCAAGGGAGCAGCGCCCTTGATTAAGCTTTGCGTCTCATCCACAAACTCGCCTGTAAGCAGCTTCTCGGCATTACCCAGCAGCCCGACGATTCCGTTAATGCTATTTTCAGTTAACAGGGGCTTGAGGGCCTTCATCAAGCCCGCGAGATCGATTTGGCCGAGCGCACCAAGCAGAGGTTCGAGCTGCTTAATCAGGTCCTGTAGGTTGAGCTTGCTCAGCTCTGCGATTAATGGCGTTGCGCCCTTGATAAGGGTTTGCGTGTCATCAACAAATTCCCCTGTGAGAAGCTTCTCGGCATTGCCCAGCAATCCAACAATGCCCTGGACACTCTGCTTAGTCAATAACGGCTTGAGAGCCTCAAACAGTCCGGGGAGGTCGATCTGGCCCAAAGCGTTCAAAATCGGTGCCAGCTGCTTGAGCAGGTCCTGCAAATCTAGCTCGCCGACTGCGTCGATCAACGGGCCAGCTTTCGAGATTAGGTTTTGAGTTTCCTCCACAAACTTCTTATTTAGAAGTAATTCGGCATTTCCAAGCAAGCCAACGATTCCCTTGATACTGTCTGGGGTGAGCAACGGATCGAGCGCTTTGAGGATACCGGCTAAGTCGATCCTGGTCAATTCGTTAAGAAGAGGCTCAATTTGGTCAATCAACTTCTGAAGGTCAAGCTTTCCGAGGCTTCCGATGAGAGGGCCAGCAGACGAAATAAGGTTCTTGGTCTCGTCCACGAAGTCGCCTGAAAGTAGTTTCTCGGCGTTACCTAGTAGCCCGACAATGCCCTTAACACTGTCGGGAGTAAGTAATGGCTCTAGCGATTTGAGCAGGCCAGCTAGGTCAAGCTTGGTCAATTCGTTCAGAAGAGGCTCGATTTGATCGATTATCTTTTGAAGGTCAAGCTTTCCAAGGCTTCCGATGAGAGGGCCAGCAGAAGAAATAAGGCTCTTTGTCTCGTCCACGAACTCGCCTGAAAGTAGTTTCTCGGCGTTACCTAGCAACCCGACAATGCCCTTGACACTGTCCGGCGTAAGTAGTGGTTCCAGCGACTTGAGAAGGCCGGCTAGGTCAAGCTTAGTTAATTCATTGAGAAGAGGCTCAATTTGATCAATCAGCTTCTGAAGGTCTAATTTGCCGAGGCTTCCAATAAGGGGACCAGCAGAAGAAACTAGGCCCTTAGTCTCATCCACGAACTCGCCTGTGAGGAGTTTTTCAGCATTACCTAGCAAGCCGACAATGCCCTTGATGCTATCTGGCGTAAGCAAAGGCTCCAGTGATTTAAGAAGGCCTGCTAGGTCCAGCTTAGTTAACTCATTGATGAGAGGCTCAATCTGATTAATCAGCTTCTGAAGGTCTAGGTTGCCAAGGCTTCCAATAAGGGGACCAGCAGACGAAACTAGGCTCTGGGTTTCGTTGACGAATTTGCCCGTCAACAACAGCTCAGCATTGCCTAGCAGTCCAACAATACCCTTAATGCTATCTGTCGTAAGCAAAGGCTCCAGTGATTTGAGAAGGCCTGCTAGGTCAAGCTTGGTCAACTCATTAATGAGAGGCTCAATCTGATCGATCAATTTTTGCAGATCGAGCTTGCCAAGACTGCCGATAAGAGGGCCAGCGCCAGACACTAAGCTCTGGGTGTCGTTGACGAATTTCGACGTCAAGAGGTCTTCTGCGTTGCCCAACAGTCCAACGATACCCTTGATGCTATCCGGAGTAAGCAGGGGCTCCAGGGACTTGAGCAGACCGGCGAGATCAAGCTTAGTTAGCTCGCCAAGTAGCGGTTCAATCTGGTCGAGCAATTTCTGGAGATCGAGCTTGCCGAGACTGCCAACGAGGGGTCCGGCGCTGTAGACCAGGCTTTGCGTTTCGTTGACAAACTTGGATGACAGGAGAGTTTCGGCGTTGCCGAGAAGGCCAACAATGCCCTTGATGCTATCCGGCGTAAGGAGCGGCTCCAAGGACTTTAGCAGACCAGCAAGATCAAGCTTGGTCAGCTCACTGAGAAGTGGTTCAATCTGGTCGAGTAATTTCTGGAGATCGAGCTTGCCGAGGCTACCAACAAGAGGCCCGGCACTGTAGACGAGGCTTTGCGTTTCGTTAACAAACTTGGATGACAGAAGCGTTTCGGCGTTACCGAGAAGACCAACGATGCCCTTGACGCTATCACTTGATAATAGCGGTTTGAGAGCGTCAAAGAGGCCAACCAGGTCGAGCTTAGCAACCTCCTTCAATATAGGACTGATTTGGTCCACCAAGCTCTTGATATCGACGTCCTTTAGACTGCCGAGCAGTGGGCCAGCGCCAGCAACGAGCGACTGAGTATCGTTGACAAAGTTCTTGGTAAGTAGCAGCTCTGCATTTTCAAGGAGACCGGCAATGCCCTTGACGCTGTCACTCGAGAGGAGCGGCTTGAGTGCGTCAAAGAGACCAACCAAGTCTAGCTTGGCGACTTCCTTGAGGATGGGGCTGAGTTGGTCGACCAGGCTCTTGATGTCGACATCCTTGAGGCTTCCAAGCAATGGACCAGCGCCAGCAACCAGCGACTGGGTGTTGTTCACAAAGTCCTTTGTCAACAGCAGTTCTGCATTGTCAAGAAGACCGGCAATGCCCTTGACGCCGTCGCTAGAGAGGAGCGGCTTGAGTGCGTCAAATAGGCCAACGAGATCGAGCTTGGCCACTTCTTTGAGGATGGGGCTAAGTTGGTCGACCAGGCTCTTGATATCGACGTCCTTGAGACTGCCGAGCAAGGGCCCGGCACCCGCAACGAGCGATTGCGTGTTGTTGACAAAGTCCTTTGTTAATAGATCCTCTGCGTTGCCGAGCAAGCCAACGATTCCCTTTATGCTTTCGTCGCTCAGTAGTGGCGACAACGACTTGAGGAGGCCGGCAAGATCAAGGCCTCCCAGCTCCTTGAGAATCGGGCCGAGCTGATCAATCAGGCTCTTCAAGTCGGCCTTGGACAGAGACTCGATGAGTGGGCTGGCGCCATCCAGCACCGTCTTGATCTCTGACACGGTCTGATTGCTCAACAGGGTGACGGCGCCATTCACAATGGCGGGCAAGTTATCCAGCAAGGGAGCAACCGCTTTCAGGATGTCTGTGGGATTGATGACGCTCAGGTAGGGGATAAAGTTGTGGGCAAACTTGAGGATGTCATTGAGATCTGAGGTGGTCTGGTTGTTCAGGAGTGTTCCGGCACTGTCCACCAGCGTGACGATCTTCTTGATGGAATCAGACGTCAACAGCGGCGAGAGCTGTTCAAGAACACCCTTGAGATCAATACCCTTGAGGGCATCTAGCAAGGGAGATACCTCGCCAACAAGAGACTGTGTCTGGTTGACAAAGGTTGGTGTGAGCAGTGAAGCGCCGTTGGTCAATAATGTGCCGATGTTGTCGATGTTCTTCTCGGTCAGCAGTCCCAGAATCGACTTGACAAGACTGCCGAGATCAATATTGCCAATTTGTCCAACCAGCTTCTCAAGGTCAAGCTTGCCGAGCAATTGCACAAGAGGTATGGTACTGTTGAGGAGCTGTCCGACCTGGCTAGGAACTGGTGGCTTGAGGGTCGCTGCTAGATAAATCATGGCATCGTGAAAGCCTGTGAGGAATTCCGGGGTGAGCAGGGACTCGATTGATTTGAGCAAGTCGGCAATGTTCTTGATGGCCGGGACGATGTCGAGTAGACCGTTGAGACCGGTGAGATCTCCTAGTCCTCCCAACAAGCCAGCAGCTTGTGCGCCGCTCGAGCTGGAGCCAGAACTGGATCCCGAGCTCGTCGTGTTTGCTCTGGGAAACAATGCCGCCCGTTGTTGCAAGGCGTGGTTCTTCTTGAGCAGGCCATTGAGTTCTGTGAGGGCCTCGGTGAGGTCTGATCGAGGCACCAGGGCAAGGTTGTGTTTGGCCAGAATCTCATCGAGGTTTAATTCTTGCGGCGACAAGGTTCCAGGAACGCCTTCGGCGACGACGCCGAGGGGCACAAGGGCCGCCACAAAGAGCGATGAGACGCGCATCGTGATGGCTCTCTTTTACCTTGAGCTGGGTTCTGTCAGAGGTTGAAGGGGAACAGCGAGCCCAAGCTGATGCATTACGCCAAAAGGAGGGCGATGAAAAGAAGAGCAAGCACACGAGTGTCTGGGGAAGACGTACCAATATGGGTTCTCCAACGGCCTTGTCCTTTCACATGAGGAGCACCGAGAGGTTCAGCTCAACTGGCGAAAGCCTCGGGAGACGCTGCCGATCAGAACGGGCCAGCTTTTGAATCTTGTTTTACAAAGTTTTTTCAGACTTGAGTTTCCCCAACTTCCCCGGCTTCCCCAGCCTGCCAGTATTCTAGCATTCTGCAGCTCATACCGCCGCGCACGGCCATGGTCCATTGCCAATGGAACTATACTCGCAGCAATTTCTCTTTTGGGTTTGGAGAAGCAGACTATGCGAGTGGAGATGATGAACCTGGTTACGACCCAAGCGCAGCGGCCCATGCAAAGGGGTCTATCATTTCCCGGAATAGCTAACACCTCTCCACCACTGGAAAACCCGGTCGTCTGTGGGGAGCGAGATGCTCGAGGCAATTTGCCAGTCTCTTGTCAAGGTTTAATAGGAGGGGTAGCTCGGCAAGAGCGCTGATCTATGAGACATGTGCCTGTTTAGTTCGTGAACAAAGCAAAAAGCCGTACCCAGATGGAGCCGTTAAAAGCGTTTGCGGACGGGCTCATTAGCAACTAGCACGTCATCTCTTTCTCAAACCGTCCATTTGACTAGCCGTGGCAAAAGCGCCCCGGTAGCCTTAGCCTTACTCTGGTAGTCTGGCATCTCGGTCTTTTGATCTCGCCTTTCCCCAGGTTTTCTTCCTCGCAGGCTCCATTCCATGCTCTTGTGCTGTGACTTGGTCTCGACAAGATGGCCCCAACAACCTCACCAGACACATCGCGTCGCGAGCCTGAAGTGCCGCCGCCGACGGCGAGAGGTGGCAGAGGAGATGATGCAGAGGACGGCGTGGATGCACAGAGCGACAATGCCTCTTCAACAGGCAACGTGGGAGAGAAAGCGGCCGGTCCTCCGTTAACAAAGCGTCAAAAAGTACGGCGGCATTGCGGCAGATTCTGGCTGTGGTATCTCATAGCCTTTATTATATTCCTCGCCATTCTGTTGCCGATTCTGTATGCTGCGTCAGAGTTCCCCTCCAAGCTTGGAGTCAAGACTAACCATAATATCCCAGTTTCAAAGTCATTATTCCTGCCATCGTGCAAGCTATTGTCAAGGGTCAGAATTTACCCATCACGAGCGGCCGACTTGATGTCGTGTCAGGCACCCAAATGAAGCTGGCCATCAACACCTCTCTCAACACACCACTGCCCGCAAGGATCACAGACTTGACACTCTTCTTATACAACAGAGACACCAGGCCATATTCGCCTTTTGCCAACCTCAGTGTCGACGGCCAAAAGCTCAAAGGCAATACCCAAATCGTCATCAAGGAGCAAATTGTCACCATCAGCAACCAAAGCGAGCTCCTGGCCTGGCTTGGCCCTGTCTTTGACCAAGACAAGGTGGATTTATCTGTTCGCGGGAGTCCGACAATCTACCTGGGCACGCTCAAGACGGACACACGTCTTGATACGACTGTTCAGATACCCGGTTTGAAACAGCTCGCTGGCCTGGGGATCAAGGATCTGAAGGTCATGCTCCCCCCGGAAAATGGCCGCAATATCAAAGGCACCATCAACGTTCCCAACTACGGTGTACTGGCCTTGAATTTCGGCAATGTGACCTTTAACATATTATCAGGCGACGTCACAATCGGCCAAATCACACTATACGATGTGCTTCTAAACGAGGGCAACAACACGTTGAACTTTGACGGGCAGCTCTATCTCGATACCTTGATCAAGAACATCGGCCCCGTCCTCGCCAGCCAGAGCGAGGCCCTCGGCAGAGGTCAAGTCGACCTCAATGTCACTGGCAACCAGACCGTCATGAACGGCGTACACATTACCTTTATTGAAAAGCTGCTCGCCAGCCGAACCCTGACCACTTCCATATCTGTCGTTACACTTTTGAGCGATGTCTTGAGCGGCCTGATGGGCGGAGGGGGCGGCAATATTATTGATGCCCTCGGCGACACTTTTAACAACAACACCTTTATTCAGAACATTGTCGACCATTGGAACACGACAAAGGCGCCCGGAAAGTCGGCAGGTCTTGGCTCACTATTGGGCAAGCGAAATGACCCCAAGGAAGCATTGATGTGGAATATGCTCAAGATGGGGCTAAAGATGAAACTGAACCAGCGGTAGAGGCAGTTTCATGTGGCAGAAAAGGCCAATCTCTGTACCTAGAGCCGTCCAAGGAAGGTTCTCATCAGGTAAAAATTAATGAAGATGGCTATGATGAGTTTTCTTAGCAGTCAAGATATAACGCTGGCGTATACGAGTAATGTAATAGCTACGAATTATTTTTTTTTCCTCCAGTCCAGATTATAGTATATACAATGAGGACTTGGTATGTCTTGGTGGCATTAAACTTGCATGTGTTGCTTGGAATGATCTGCTGTTACTAGGCATTATTTGTTTCATCTCGACGATGGTTGGTTGGGAGCTGCCATGAACGAATTGGCGCATGACAAATTCACATTACAAATAAAGGAAACCAAATAAATAGTACTAAAACTAGACATGGAAATAAAAACAGCAAGCATTTCAGGTTTGACATTTGTTCCGACTTGTTTAGGAACTTTGCAGCTGGAGTGCAGTATAGGGTATGTCAAGTTGGGGCCCCCAATGATGCCAACCAAGGTATTGCACGGAATAATTACAACAAGATCTGATGGACTGATTCAGGCTATGCAGGGAGATCAGCGGGCCAGCATCCGGTGCTAGGATATGCGAACTGTGCCAGGCAAGCAAGCCAAAAATCCTTGTCTAGCACGCGAGGTGGCGAGATGCCAACCAATGCCCAGAGTCTGGACCATTCGTCCCGATGCTGGATGGCCGTGCGTGAACTTTTTTAGAGTCATGAGAGTGGAGATTTATCGAGGCACGGACATTGTCACCAGCTGATAATCGATTTCTCGGGCGCTTTGATCGCCATCAAGTGGGCTAGGGCTGTGGGTAATAATGAAAGATATTTCCAGCCAGCCCCAGTTGACCTGAGGCGTACGGAGTACCGTATTTAAAGTATTCAATAATAGACGGCCGACGGCAAGGGAGGGTAAAAAACGTGAATGCCAATTTGGTCGACCAAATTGTGAGTCTGGTAGACACGGGCAAAGTCCAATTTGGATCAATTGACATGTTTGGCTCTGAACAAGGTTGCGCATGGGGCGCTCTCGAGTCTCGAGTCTTGACGCCACGCGTGACGTGAGGCGACAAACAGGGGACCGCAATGGGAGGCCGACTGCGTATGTATGAATGTATCTACATACATTTATTCTGGCCACTTGGGTCTAAACGGCCGAGCAAACATAGAAGAACGAGCCGAACCGTGACCGTGCTTTGGTGTCACGTTGCAGATCTTGGCTTCCCTCCCACCAGAGTCGATCCGTTGGCTCCTTCAGCCGCCACAATGTACAAATCGGCAGTACCGAGTACCAGAAGCGCTGAGAGCAAGTCTGCAGGGACTCGCTAACCCGATGCAGGAGAAGTCTGGTCCGGTCTGATTCTTGCATGGAAATGGAAACCAAGTTAACCATAACCATAACAGCTAGCTTAACTAGCGGGTGAAACGAAACAAAGTGTGATTCCCAACAGTGTAACCCTTGTTACAAATGTAATTAGGCCGCATTGTATTTTTCGACACCAGTTTCTGCGACCTGCGCCGCCTGGTGTGGTCAATCTCGGCGTGGGTTGTGATGCAACCGTTCGCGCCATCATTTGCTCTGTAGGAACTCGGTCGGTCGGAAACTCCCATGCTGTATGCAATTGACGGACTTGTGTCCCTGAGAGGGCGCTGAGCAGCAGACACCTGCCAGCGCCGAATAAATCAATGTTGAAGAGCTGCCAATGGAACGTTGTCCTAGAGCAATCCTTTCGGCATGTCCATGTCGTCGTCAAGGACGCTAGCCGACAAATGACCAGTAGCAAGTGTTCGTAGTCGGGTTGTACCGATGCAGGAACAAACATGGATTATAGATTCCCCCAATTGGACATTGTTTCAACCCCATCTTCAACGTCGCTGGGATTCTTGTGGCGTAGACACCTGCCAAAATGGTGCTAACCGGTACCTCGCAACACGGTAAGATTCTTACTAAAACACCAAAGGATTCATCCGAGTTTGGCCAGCTGGCATTTTCACAGCTACAGGAGACGTGTGAATCTCATCCTGTCATCCCGAAAGGAATTAGAGTCAATCCTTTGATGAACTTGAACGTCTCGAAACACATTCTGACACGAAGGATTGGGAAATCAACCCCGTCGTGACCGGATTCCAAGGCCCGTCTGAATGATTCAAGTCTCATGGTAGATGCTTATAGTAATGGAGAAAAAAAAAATATAAAAACTGTAGAGATGACCATATTCTTGACTTACATCTCCAGCTCACAGCAACCACTGCAAGCAGCTTCATCCCCTTAATCGAAATCTTGCATCTCCAACACCTGGGACAATAGTTCTATAGTACTTCCAATTACCTTCATCTTCACCCTTACAATGTTTTCCTTCACTCCCGTTTCGGTCCTGGCCTTGGCCGCCGTGTCGACTGCTCTTCCGACACAGGCTGTGGACGAATTTGCCGTTGCAGACCGATATGTCTTTTACCGAGGCAGCGGTGCCAACTGGCCATCTCAGAAGTCCTGGGGCAGCTTTGACTCCCTATGGAATGCCAACGTGCCCCTGATGCAAAAGTCGTGCGGATGGAATGGCTGGGGTGCCGACAATTCTGGCGCCGAGATAAATGACATTAAGAATGCCATTCATCAGGTCTCCGGGTCTACAGGCGTTGATAAACGCTTCATCCTCGCCATCATGATGCAAGAAAGCAAGGGCTGCGTGCGAGTTCCTACTACCAATAACGGCGTTCGTAACCCGGGTCTTATGCAATCTCACAATGGCTCAGGCAGCTGTGCTGGTGTCAACCCATGTCCTAGCGGCACCATTGGACAGATGATTCGCGATGGTGTTGCCGGTACTTACTCTGGAGACGGCTTGAAGCAGACTCTGGGCAAGGCCAAGGGTGCCGTTGGAGACAATGCCCGCGCGTACTATGCCGCCGCACGAATGTACAACTCTGGTTCCGTCGACTACAACAACCTCGATAATGGTCTGGGAAGCACTCCGTGCTATGCAACCGATGTTGCTAACCGCCTGACCGGCTGGACTCTCGCTGCTAGCCAATGCCGCGCATAAATGCGTACTAAAATGGCACGACTCTTGAATTATAGAGATCAACTCCATCATGTGCATACGCGACATTATTGCTTGAGTCTGATGGATATTTTCGTCTCAAGCTGCACGTAAATATTTCCCTTCATACTGTCTATACTTGAAACGCCTCTTTTATATAGAAACCAAATGCAACATGAAAGATGCTACTCTTTTTGAATATATACCAAGTACAATCTATAAAGTGCGTGGCATGTTTGGAAGTGAAAAATCATCTAGTTGACTTCTGCACCATTGACATCCTCCCGGTTCTTTTATGCGGCCACTTTGGGAAGTATATGAAAGGGTAATTTTTCCCTCCCATTGAAGTCTAAGAGCTGATAACATGTAGCTTCTAGTTACTTGGAAAATGTGTTGTGGCTTCCATGTCAACTTGCACACATCGCGCAGCTGACGGATCTTGTACAAGACGGTGATCAAGGTAGCTCGACCTGAGGCACAACTCTGCATATAATGAGAGAGTCATTCACAGATTATAGCTAGAATGTGAACTGCCCTGCCCGGATAGAAGAAACCTCTATGCCTGACGTATTTCAAGACTTTGTAGTGACTTGGGCTTCTTTTCCAGTGCAAGGTCCTGTACTAGCTGCTTTACATTTTAAAAAGTACATGTATGGTACGTACTACTATTTCGTATTTCCTCTTTTTTGAAAACTTTTCATGAGAGTGGCTTGATGACTGGAATTCCTGTCAAAGCAATCGTTCTTGTGCTTCAATAGACCCAGTATGGTTTAGTTGCAGGGTTAGGGTTAATCCACCAACTCTTGACGCAGGTAGCGTCTCCACACCAGCTGTCATGGTGTGATGACGTGATTTCCAGATCAGCCACTTGTATGACCAGCATGACTGACGTAAATTTTGCAAACATTGAACACAGGTCTACCCTCGTCCTTGTGTAGCTTGAATTGCGGCCTGTCCGTGATATATCTCTCTCAACTCGTGTTGGCCAAACATTGCTTCCGCTTCTGGTGCCGTCTCAACCAGCAAGCCGGCGTGGAGTAATCCAACATTGAAGCTGCTTCACCCCTCGGCCGCTGCGCCGTGTCTGCGAACATGCGGTGCCAGAGAACAAAGCCGGCGTGGAATACGGCTCTCGCCAAAATTCGCTCACAACAACACAACCGTCGGTGCTTTGCCAGCGCCTCGCCCGTCATCGCTTCGTCAAGAAATCACCGAGTCGTCGTCGTTGGCGCGGGAACGGCAGGCATAGCCGTGAGCCATCAGCTACTTCGGTCCGGAGAATTTGGCCCGGAGGATGTCGCGATTGTTGACCCTGCCGTGTGGCACCATTACCAGCCTGGTTGGACACTTGTTGGAGGCGGGCTGAAGAACAAGCAAGACTTGCGCCGAAAACTTGCCGATTTGATGGACCCCAAGCTCAAATTCTACAACTCCGGCGTGGCATCCGTTACTCCTGGCGATAATTTTGTGACGCTGAGGGATGGCGACAAGCTGACCTATGAGCAGCTGGTGGTTGCGCCTGGTCTCAGCATAAATTATGGACAAATCGAGGGCCTTCACGACGCTCTCTATGATCCGGAATCCCCAGTCTCAACAATTTACAACTATGACACCTGCGACAAGGCCTTCCGAACCGTCGAACGGCTGACCAAGGGAAACGCCATCTTCACTCAGCCCGCTGGCGTTATCAAGTGTGCCGGTGCGCCGCAGAAAGTCATGTGGTTGGCTTTGGACTACTGGAAGCGTGCCGGCCTCTACTCGCCAACCTCGCCATCTAGCTCGGCCATCACGATTAGTTTTGCCACTGGCCTGCCTGCCATGTTTGCAGTGCCCAAGTATGCCGCCAAGCTGGAAGAGCTGCGAAAAGAGAGGGGGGTCGATGGGCTATTCCAGCACGATTTGGTTGCCATCAACGGCAATGTAGCGACGTTTGCCCGTCCCAATGGAGAAGCCGCCGTCACCAAACAGTTTGACTTGCTGCACGTGGTTCCAAAGATGGGCGCTCCGACGTTTATCAAGGACAGCGGCATTGGGAATGACGCCGGCTACGTGGATGTCGACGACCACAGTCTGCGCCACAGGAAATACCCAAACATTTGGTCTGCGGGTGACGCTTCAAGTTTGCCAACCTCCAAGACTGCTGCGGCGGTGACGTCGGAGGCCCCCGTGCTGGTTCGGAATCTGCTCCAAGTGCTTCAAGGTAAACAGCCAGACGCCGCCTATGACGGTTACACGTCCTGCCCTCTTTTGACCGAGTACGGCAAGGTACTTCTCGCAGAGTTCAAATACGGTGGAGAACCCAAGGAGACATTCGACGATTGGTTGGGGATTGACCAGGTTGAACCTCGTCGTGCCTTTTATCATCTAAAGAAGGACTTTTTCCCTTGGGTCTATTATGCCTCCATGGTCCGGGGAACATGGGGCGGCCCAAAGGGATGGATCAATTAGAGGCTTATCGCTGAGGGTACTGGCACCAGTCCTGATGCATGTAAAATGTAAAGATGGCGACTACTGGTCGCTTGAAATAAATAAAAGGTGGTAGTTCAAACGTGTTGGGAGGGGGCCGAGATCTATGTAGGCAATTCATTCATACCCCCAAAGTCTCGTTTACCGTCATACTGAGCGCCTGGGACAAGAAGTTCCATTTCATGGTTGTTCTGCACCCTAGATTTAGCTCCGACTCCTAAAGCACATATCTAAATTTGGGTCCATAGTTTTCGACACCGTCGTCGTGGGCATCGTTTGCAACCGCGTCATCCTCGTACTTTTCAGCCAGGCGTTTGTTTTCCCAAACCAACAGCGTCCTCAGAATAACAGCAAGAATCGCAACAAATAACATGAATGCAGCGCAGATACCGTGGCCTTTGGTGTAGTTTGGCCGCTCATCTTGAGGATATACTCTGGTGCCCAGGAGAGGACCACACTGCCCGATGAGATTGAGTACAACCACACCCGCTCCTCTTCGTTCGTCGCTGCCTTGGTTATTAACGACCCATGGTAGAATATTAGCTATAGTTGGGAATACTCCTGCCGCCGCGAGGTAGACACCAGCGTATCGAACAGCGGTAGTCGATGCGGCTGCAAGCATGACGTATCCCGTACCGCCCAATAACGCCATTACGATGACGGTAAGCCCTCGTTGCTGAGTACGATCTGCAATGTACGTGGTCCCAATTGTCACGAGAAAAGAAGCAAAGTAGGGCGGTGCAGAGAGGCCTTGTGCAGCCAAGCCAGAGAAACCTACAGACAGGTCAGTAGATGGCCGCTGCATAGTGTAAAAGGAGCAGAAGGTCTCTTCATACCCATGTCCTTTAGGATGGTTGGCAGGAAAACCGGTAGCGACGAGTAGGAAACATTGCAGGAGAAGTACATGAGAGCGGTCAGCCACGCCTTTGCATCCAGGAGAATGGAAATCGTTTCCCGCCACTTCAAGGAGCCTACCCGGGCCCCTTTTCCTACTTGCTTTACTTGACGTGCCAAGGCGACACTCCTTTCCTCAGTATTCAAGAACCAGGCCTGATGGGCGCTGTTTGGCATGGCGAAATACGTCACGACGGCCATGGCCAAGACGGGCGCCCCTTCAACCAGGAACAAGAGACGCCAGTTCGCGATCCCGGCGTGCCCCGACGTGATGCCGTACGCCAAAGCACCCGCAAAACACGTTGCCAACGGCGCGCAGGAGAAGAAGATGCCGATGCGAAGGCCAAGCTCGTCGCGCAGGTAAAAGAATGACAACAGGTAGATGGCACCGGGGCCGTATCCGGCCTCAAACGCGGCCAGGAAGAAGCGACACGCCATCATGCCCGCCCAAGATTGGGCAGCAGCTTGCGTCGTGGCGGCAATGCCCCAGCCGAGCACAAGTATTGCAATCCATGTGCGCGCGGGCAGAACCTTGAAGACGATGATGAGTGGCTCGAAGAGGATGTAGGCAATGTAGAAGATGGTCAAGAGCCATTCGTACTGGTCGCTACTCAGGCCGAGGTCCTCCTCCATGCCGGCGATTCGGGCATTGCTATTGACGACACATGTCAGCTCATCGCCGTCCTGGAACATGACTGTGTCAAGCATTGTCCTACCCGATGTTTGATCGATCCAAGAAAGCCAGCAAGACTATGGTACATTAGAGCCGAACTTTGGAATATCGTACGAAATTTGGTCAACTGACACAGAAAGCACAGGAGCAGCAACACGTGTGTATCAAGCTTTCGCCTGACTCTGGCCTCGACGGCCGCAAGAGTACGGGGGTCAGACGCCACCTCATCACACGCGGGCGCCTCGACCGCCGCCGCATCGTGAGGTTCGGGCGTGGCTGCCTTGGTCGTTGGCATTTTCGTTGAGGGTTTGATGGCCCGTCAACTTATTGTCCCGCTGACCATGTATAGGCTGCTCTGCTCAGGTTTTAGCAACTGAGAGAAAGAGAGCCACGCTGTCGGGTGAAATGCTGGTGGCTTAGTTTGTATTGGGATCATCAGTACTAAATGCCGGGGGCCGATAAGACCAGTTGACGTCTGTGCCGGACTAATCTCGGCTCTGTGCAACACAGAAACACATCAACTGATAAGCGACATTTCCCAAGGGCATTGCGATTGCGGTCTTAGTAATTCGGCTCGAGTGCGACGTCTGTGTACCCCGTTCGGAGTACTACATCGGATCGACACGCTTTGGCCCTACCACCGGACTCTGCGGTGCACAAGCTAGTCCTAGACTCAGAAACCCATTGATGCTGGTACGTGTACTACGTTGATTCTGGTGGTAAGCAGTACGAATTGGACCAGACCAAGTAACTGGCTATCGTGGCGGGACAGTAGATTAGTGTATACTTATTGGCAGGCTAATACACCGGACGTATGTCTGAGTTGCCCGCCAGAAGCCCAAAGAATCTGACAGCATGCTGCTTGGATGCCGAATTCCTCTTAGATCAGTCAATATTCTAGCACTGAGATCAAAGCCAGCAGTCTGATCTTCCCCGCATTGCTCGATGTTGCGTTCGTGCCTAGTTGTCCACAAAGATGCGACGAAACTTGCTACGCACAACAGAATTGATTCATCCCGTACATCTTGGCGTAGGCTTTGCTCCAGTTTCGTCCTTTATGCCGGCTGCCTTTTTTTTCTTGCACAACTCGACGGCAAGTTGCAACTTAAAAACGCCACTCTTGGCTCTAGGCCTTGGGGTTAGGGTTGGCACTGCGGATACAGCGATTTCTCTGATTGTCTTTATCGACCAACTCCATCGTATCAATTGATGGCTACTAGCACCCACCAGACGGGCTATAGCGGCGTGCCCCTCCGGGCTACCAGCGACCTAAGAGTCTGGTACTAGCAATTCGGCCGAGTAGTCTGGTTACTAGCACACTGCAGGGACCAGTATTCAATGTTCAGTGCGGTTTGGTTGCTGTCGCCTATTGTGGGTGCCCGATTAGCGGTCGGTGGTAGCTCTAGGCGCTACATGTATGTTGCTGGTACCTACAGCAGTTGAGCCTGGGGTCGAGGGCTAGTTCAATGTTGACATAATTGATCATTGATGTCTCAGTGCTGGTACCCGTGCCAGTATGTACACTGGTTAGAGCACCTACGTAAAGCAATGGTGCTGTTTTGCCCCTATCCCTGTTTGACAAGCTCAAAACTATCACCGCTCTCTCTCTCATCAGCCTCAGAATATATCAGTCAGCACCAGACGGCATGCAAAAGATAATTAAACGAAGTGGATAGACGCTTGAGAAGTCTCGAAGTATAGCCTAATTGACTACAGGTGCCGCATCTGGGGATGACAGTTAGCGAATCATTAACCGACGTCGGGTACATCTGGATGGAAGTGCTCGTGTTCGTGTGATATGGGATCGTGAGTTATTTTCCGTGTGGCCATGATTGCTTGGTTGAAAACTCTACACGCTCAAGCTTGAACCGCGAAGAAGAGCAACCAAGGAAGACCGATCGCGACGCCAGGGAACCCAGAACCTGTGGCTTGCATCGAATCTAGTCTGGTATTTTTCCGATATTTGTTTCAGCCTTACGTGCTCTTCGACAGCGCATTTCGGCTACATATTTACCCGATCCGTCAGCCATAAATTCGGTAACGGACATCTTTCACTCTTCAATTGTAATCACCATTCGCGAAATTGGTACATACGTCACAATGCCTCCCCGTCTGGCACTACAATTTACTTCTCTCCGGACGCTTTCTTTGCGAGGGGGCCGACACTTTCAGATTCGCAGGGCATTCCACGACGCAAAAGCAGACTTTATTACCTTCAACTCAAGAGGATCTCTCACGACACAAAAACTCGACATATTCATTGGTGAACCCCATGAAGCCTACATCATATTTAATAAAGATGTTGGCCTTGCCATGCAGTCAGGCATCTCTAACCAAACTGGCATATGCCTTGCTTCGGATTCCAAAAAAATTGCTCTGACATTTTTCCACGACACCCTGCATTTTGCCCATGGTACCTCTCCCGGGTTCGCGCCAATGTGATCTAACTAATAAAATCTCTTTTCAAGCTGCCGTACCTTATCCACGCATGGTCATCGAACGAAACCTTCCGCGGCAGAATGCAAGCAACACGAGTCCTGCAACACTATGGCTATGGGGCGCGTCACATTCTATTACCTTAGATGGCACAGCAGATCGTGAGTCTTTCTGCATTCAAAATCACAGCAAATACTTATTTTTTCAGATATGTTTGAGGAATCTTCACGGGAGAGCCACAAGAGGTTAAAGGGCGCTGCTGAACTCTTGCGGGATAGATAATGTAAGGGGCTTGAAACGTTCTGCGCTTGAGGAACAGACGCAGCCCGGACAATATGGGCAATATGATTAACAACTTGTCATTGCAGCTGGCAAAGTGAAATGAGCCCGAAACCCGATTTGCGCAAACCATTGACGAAATACCATGATATCTTGGCTGCCCGCCTACCAACGCAGCTAGTGCTTGACAGCGTTCTTGCTATACTCTCTGATCTCCTTGCTCATTTTTCCCAAGGGCCTAGCCACACTGGCATAGTAATGCCCGAGGTCCTCTGATGTCCACTGGCTCGTGGCGACAAGGACATGGGCATCAGCAAGCCCTTCTCCATTGGCTTTTTCTGCAACTGGTACCCATTGATCTTCAAAAACATGTCTGCGGCGAACAGAGCAGTTCGTTTGTTGCCGTCCTGGTATGGGTGATTGAGAATCACCTTTTCCGCAAGGATACCAGCTAGTTGAAATAAGTCTGTTTATCCATAGTTCTTGTGATTTATTGGTGAGTCAATGGCGGACTCCAGCATGGTTGGTTAGGTTGGCGACGATGTAGCAATGTGTTGTGTATACAACCTTTTGACTTGAGAGGCTGTCAGAAAACGGTAGGATATGCTTGCAGCCATAATGTGTTATTAATGACTGAAGATGAAGAATGGAAATAGACCTGTCGTACTAATCTGACCAGCCACCTGGGGGTTCGCAGGCATTTTAAACAGGCTGTTCGTATTATCTCTGATTTGCCGTGACTGAGCAGCACACAGATTGCCGGGCCTCGAGTTGAGCAAATATGTGGTCAAATCACAGCCTCACCTGATGCAGTGGCCGCAGATTTGTCGGCCCCCGTCCTGCATGAAACCCGGTGCGTGAACATCAGCGGCAGGCTGTCGCTTCCTTTCTCCTGGTCATGTTTGCAAAAAAAGAGATGCAGCCTCGTTCCGAGGTATAGCGTTGTTCGCTATGGGACTGCTGCCTGGTTAACATGGAACATTCAAAAAAGGCAAGATCAATACTCTCTACGCAGAGTTCGGGCGCAAGTCCAACAACGAAGTAACAAGAGTCACGGCCAACTGAAACCCGTCCATTGTCCTTGGTGTTTGTAACCATCGGCAAGTCAACGACGGGTGGCCTGGATGGTCGGTAATATTCTGATTAATTAATACTAGCTTTAAAACTTTAAGAAATCAGCTTAAACATAACCTGCTAGCCATCTCGGGCATCTAGCTACGGTGAGTTTTCTACGTACAACCCAAATACCCGATTGCGGGGGGTAATCCACACCATCATATCCAATTACTTGGCAACAACAGGTACAAACTTCTTGTCAAAGGTGCGAGTCTTGTCGCTCACAATTCCCATTGAACCCTCAAGATATGGGACAAAACGGAATTCAGGCCTTTCACCTTCAAGTGGTATGAGCTTGAATAAAATTGCACTCGTGTCGCTGTTTTTGCTGGTAGAAAAGTTAATACTCCATCCTTGCTGGTACATCTTGCTGTACCGTAGTCGCTTGTTGCCTCTATTCTCCCAAGCCGATAAGAACTGCATTGCACCGAGGGGCTGTTCATTTTGCTGGAGGGCAAATTCCCAGGCCTCTGGCTTCTTGGTTTGTATCGGCTTTCTGTCGCTGCTAAGGACTGGAATGTAAAAGTTGTGCATGACGAGATGGTGATTGCTATTATCCGCTTGTTGCCACTTCAACCACTGACTGCCATCCTGATTACCGGTATCTTCGAGGGCGGGCTTGAGGAAGCGAAGGCCAGGCGGGTAGAGCTTCAATAGCGTGTTGGAAATCGTCGTTACTTGGTCCTGGCATTCTTTATGTAGACGTTCTGCGTCAGTCTCGGCTATAGATAAAGTTAGTTAAACTAGTTGAATACAATAATTGCGAATAATAGAAAAGAGAGGAGACGAACTGTGCGATGTAAACAAACTTAATACAAGCCCTTGACGAAGAAGATAGGAAATCGGGCCTAAATGATCGTCCATTTCTTTCACATAATCAGACATGTGATAGTAGAGGTTTTTTTCATCGCCCAACTTTGACATTGCCTGTTTATGCCAGACGTATATCGCGCCAGCATCCTGACCAGGTAACCCCATAATCGTATTATAGATGGAGAAGGTGCTATAGCGAATACCATGGTTTTCGTCTCGAAGTGCAGAGACAAGTTCAACATAGGCCAAATCAGTCTCATTGATTTGTCCACCATTGAGTCTATTAAACAATATTAGCCATGTTATTGATTGTCAACGTATAATAGTGCAACGTACTTCTTGAAATCATCCATAACCTCATCCATACGCTTTGACCAATATAGAATGCGTCTCATAGAGTCCAAAATCTCGACCTTGATAGATAAATTTTCAATCTGTCGGGCTACTTCGTGTTGCCCGGCACTGATACTATGCAGCAGCTCAGTGGTATGTGCAGCATCATGCTGTGAAAGAGATTTCCAGGCTGCTTTCACCGCAAATGTGGCAACCCATTTGCCAACACCCACGAGTAAAGACACAGCCACCATGTTGGTAGAAGTTGAGAAAGGATGACTTGAACGTGTTGACAACAGTGGCCTTGATAGTGTAGAGTGTAAATATGAGTTTGTATGAGTTTGGAAGATGGCTCCTGCTTTCTTTCCAATGATATACGAGAGTAGCATCTCTATATCTTTTATACTCACATGTCACCATTTCAGTTGCTAATTTTTAGACCTTTCAGCCTTGTAGGCGCATTCTCTAAGAGCTGCGCAGAAATACCGTTGTCGAATATGGTATGATTATGCATAACGTACATGGTACAATATTAGAAACAAAATCATCTTGTTGATGGCCTGTCAGGTCTAGCCCAACAAGGCAAATCATTAGTGTTCGCACAAGTCCGAACCAGAATACCGTAAACGCAAAAGGGTACGCATTGAACAGTTCCCTCGTGACTCGCTCAATTGACACTATACAGCCATGTCTAGAGGAAAGCTCGGGCCTAGCCCAGACCGTATCATGGCCAAACTATTTACACGACCGATCTTGGCTTCAGGCAAACGTTGGATGACGAGATAAAGCATAGCTGGGCTTAGAGGAGTGGCTTGGGTGATAAACGAGTCATTCCAGGGGCACATCCAGCTGGACAGCTGCGTTATGAATACAGCTGTGGATAGCATTTCTCCAAACTAGGTATTGCGCAGCTTTACAAAAGAACATTGAACTGATTGAGGCATTGATACGTCATTGCCCCCCGGTGGAGTCACCAGCTCCTCGTATTTGGGGCGACGGATAGAGTGCGGACATTAATCCATATTCCGCCTAGGGGGAGGTCCCTTGATGGCCTAGACATAAGGCTATTGATGCCGGTATCTACGGCTCGACAAGTTTGGTACGATAATTTAAACCCCATATTTCCCCTCGCACTGCCCTACGCCCTACCAAGGAACGGTTCATCGACTATTGATCAAGGCGAGGCTTTTTCAACCCGAGCCCCTGCGTGCGTGTCCTTGTATTCTTGCTAGCTAATCCTAGCTAATAAAAGGCTGTATGTAAAAGGGGTGAAATTCCGCAGTGTCCGTATGTGGGCCAATTCCCTAGTTCCGAGACGTAACAAACAATCAACTACCGTAATTAGTTACTCTTTCCAAGATGAGGATAATTTTACAGTCGACTGATGCGTCTGTTTATTAACTGGGTAATGTGCATATCATCAAGCGGTGATTCTATGCAAGGTGCAGGCCAGTTTCGTGGTAACCTACCCGCTGGAGCGACATGGCTAGGTAACTAGGCAGTGTTTTAAAGATCGTGACAATTCAGGCCGTCTGGTGTATTTACTACGAAGCGTGGGCTGCGTATCGGCGTGTCCATGCGGATAGCAAATCTGAACACATGCCAAGCAAATACTCTGTTAGATGGGAACGCGAACCCATGTCCCGCCCAAGAATGGTTGGCCCGACTTTATCTTCCGGCATCTCTTTGACCGGGAATTAGTGTCGTATAACGCCATTTCCCGATATCCGGGCCAACACTCGGCAACTTCCTCGATTTTAATTGGCTATTTATCGCCTACCTTGCTTTATGACCGGGAAAATCAACATGTGTTTTTTCATATAAATTTATATATCAAGGTACATGGAGAAGCCGGCTTGTGGTAATCGCCGTCGTAATTACTAGTAAATCCCGACGCCGGCATTTAAAGGGACCCAGCCAAAAAAAAGGGCGCCTGGGTCAAGTGCTTAATAACATAGAGGGGATACTTGTGAACTAGGGCCAAGAGATGTGGAATCCAATCCGGGATTATGCTGGTTCGTTCCATCACCGTTTTTCCCGCATCACCGGAACATCTTTAATAGTCACCAGGGCGGGGAAATGGGTACTGGTCGTACCTTGGGAAGATGGTTCGAGAATGAGCCAGCCTTCTTCCGCATCTGACGTCGGGCACCTTGCCTCCACCCGCCGGGGAAGAACGAGAGCTGTTCCCGAAGTTCGGTCGATGACCGTAAACGCCGAGATCCAGATATTCCACTATCTTCTATTTCTAGAACTATTATGGGCCAGGATTCTCAACATAGTTCTCATGAATTCCATATATCACCAGGACCGCCCTCAGGAGATGAGCGCCAAGGCGAGGAATCAGACTTGTCGGCGGGCTATGCAAAGCCTGGTCGAAGACTCAGAGATCATTGATTCCTTGGGATTTCCCCCATAGCTCTGACACACCACTTTTCTTTAGCCATTAAAATGGCGTTTCCCTCTTCTTCAAATAATAGACCAGTTAGGTGGTGCGTGTACACATCACAAAAAAAAGTGCATATATCTCATCAGCGGTGGTGCGACATACATTCCACCTGCCTCCTGGCCAAGTCTTTAGGCTCCTTGATTATAAAAAAATGGAATCTTCAATAGGGACTCCAGCCGCTTTCAATTCTCTCATAAGACCCGCCTTTTGGAGTTCTGCGTAAGTAGGAGATTCAAGAAAACGCTTCCGCACCAGCCCAGACAGAAAAGGTGCCATATGTCTGAGTGGATCATCCTCTGGAAATATGCTACTAGCTTTTCTTACGTCCATGTAGCCTTTAAAAAAGAAGTTCGCCATTGAGTTTACGCTATAGACGTCTTTGATATATGGGGGAAGATCCCCCACACCCGGCTGACCCTGCATAAGGCCATGTGCATAGCAGATTCCGACTAGATGATAAGAAGATGCATTTGACGCATGGCCTATCGACGAACGACTAGAGGAGTTGCGGATCCGAAAAGAATGACTACTTCATCCCCAATTTGGTCTTTTCTTTTTTGGTGCTAGGCCCATGTAGTCGTTCATCATGAAGAGACTCCGCATTTTACAAGCCGTAGAACGTCTTGTAAATACGCTTGTGGTATTGAAGCGGATTCCACTGACTGCTTTGGCTCCTCGCCAAATATACGCATGATGAAGTTGACAGAGTCGTGATTCGTAGGGCATTCGCCTCCAGTACGTACGGGTGCCACATCTCCGCGAAACTATCGGCCCATAGCACGGAGCAAAATGCCTCCAAAAGGCTTTCTCCTGTTTTTTACTTCTTTTTAAATCTAAAAAAGTGGGAAAATACTAGTCTGATTGCTTCAATTGCCTCACAATTACTTAAGAGCTGCGCATTTCCATCTACTGGAATGATATCATTAATGACGCCACAGCGGACGCCTAGAGCTTGAAGGAAATGGCCTTCAGTGCAAAAGGAACTGGGACCCAATTCGGCAACGTGTCGATTTATAAAATGCAAGTGGGAGATGGTCAATGGCGTAGAGTCGTCCGGGACGCAGCTAGGCGGACAGATAGCAGGGGAGTCCCGCAGCTCACACTGCCGCAAAAAATAGGGCTCTTCGAAATGTGCCATGTGCTACGATGTTACATTGATACACAGATCCGAAGTTGTCTTGCCATAGTCTGGGATAATGCCGAGTTTTTGTTCATCTTCGTCTGGCCGGTTGAGAACACCAAATGTCTATCTCTTGGGTCCAAACACTCCGCAGCTCTGGTTTCTTGTCCGAGGGAATTAAGAGAAATGCGTCGTTTGGAAGTCAAGACAACGGTATCAACAACCTGCAGCATATCACAAGGAGCCACACGAGAAGTAGTATCCAGTGTTCGTGAGAGCGGCTTCCGGAAGAGTAAAAAATTGCAGGGCAAAATTCTGATCAATTTATCTCTTTGGGGCCTTTGGGACCACGTATTAAGGCGGCAGAAGGTCCGCCAAGCCCAATCTCTTGTCGAATCAAAAGTCTCCCGAACCATGGGCGATATATGAGATGATACAGAGCCGTGAGTTCTCTCTTTCCAAGTGGGATCTCGTGACTCAAGTCCACCCAGTGCGACTCTGTAGCACATCTGGGCGTCAACGAGCCCGTGCCAAAATCAACATTGATCAGACTAGAAATAAAGTCCACTCGTTTTAGGATATAGGTGCTAAGGAGTCCTTCAGGCCCAAGAAATGCGAAAACCGGGTTTGCTAAGCGATAGATATCACCCATCATGGAAACTTGCTGGGTCTGCTCAAGGGTATTCTTCTGATCAATGCAGATTACATCAGCCCAAACTGGACGTCGGTGGTCTGGGTATCAGAGTTTCCTGATGGCGGCTGCGAGATTCTCCGTTATTAATATGCTGTTAGATTGACTTATGGAATCATGACGGGACTATCTTGTGAGCCCCACGTGTATGATAGTATTGCATATTTCGGTGGACTGTCGGGGTCAAGAATTTCGTGGCGGATGACGATATGAACTGGGGCTGGAACGGTTCCGGTACGGGCTTTAGTCCGGCATAGTAGAAGTTAGCCTTTTACGGGTGTTATATTAGTCACAGAATAATTCATCCTATGGGTATATTAAATAGGTGGAATAGTTGTCTCCCTATTGGCCTACACCAATACAAGTATTTTAGAAAGACTGGCATATAGCAACCACTTGCGAACAAATCTTTGGTGTGATTCGGTTATGGTGATAACTGACTGCCCACTGACAGATTGATCACGTAATGACGAAAAACTGGTTCAAATGTAGTGGGACAATACTGCTTTGGCCGTGTGCCTAGTGTATGTAATGTGTAGTAAACCTGCTATCCCGATATCGGATTAATTTACCAGACGCCATATGTGTCAACAGAAATGTAAGGGGGTGTGATTGCTGTTCAATTAGAGCTCGTTCTTCTTGTGACAATATGATATCAGGATATCCGAGTATGCCCCCGTACGGGTAGTTCTGCCAAGATAAACCCTGACTACTTAATTCCTTGAGGACTCCAGCCGTTACATATAGGCTCACTAGACGCAGTGTGTTGCATTTGTACCAGATCTCTGCACTCAACGTTGGCATGTTAGACCGTCGCGAGGACAACGCAGTGATTTCTCGAAGCAAAAGTAAATCATCAAAGAGGCTAATAAACAAACCTAGATGGATTTACGAGCTCATTAACGATCCAGATAGTCTTTGTAGGCTGAGAAAGTAGTACAAATCGAACGTAACTGCTCTCAAAATGCCCAAACAAATCGACAATCGTATCTGATATGATGGTCTCATCCCTACACTTATTTTACTCCTGGAACTCGGTCGAGCTTAAGCAATCTTCTAGAATAGTTATCCAAGTGTGATGCTGTGCGCGATTGATGTCATGACGCACGACAATCAGCCTTGAGCCACGCCCAAAACATGCACTCATATTACACACTGTCCCGGAGTTAGTCTCGAGAGTCAACTTTACCCGTCATTCACACCAAAATGATGACCGCTTTACCATGTACAGTCCCAATCCGCACTATGCATCAGAGAAACAGGATCGAAGCGAAATGGTGTGCTCAAGTGGCGGCATAGACCATCTTATTGGACATTACGAAGCCATGACGTTGCTGTTGTAACATGGCTGTCTGTTGTGGCGGCATGCTCTCGCCGGGCACATGATGCTTCTGAGGGGAAGCTATAAAACGGTCAAGCTGTGCCCCGGTGGCAAATTATTGACTCGAATACCTTTCAACTCTTTGGCAAAGAGACTTAAGATCTGACTTGCAACGTAAAAAGCTACAATTATCTTCAATACATCAATACACAATGAGCGATCCAGCACACCCACATCCCAATCCAAGACATCCGGATTACGAGACGGGACTCACGGATGAGGCGGTAATCGAGGGCCACGACCTGATTCAGCACGCCGAGGAGGAGGAGGAGAGAGTATGCAGCGCTTCAAATAGTTCAACAACTGGCCAGGTTTTCGCTAACCATGTGAACCAGATGCATCCAGACAAGCCAGAGCCGACGATGCCGGTAGCAAACCCACCGGCTGGGCAGCAGGCCAAACATGACAAGAAGGAGTCAACAATGGACAAGGTCAAGCACGCGTTGCATTTAAACAAGTAACCAACAACGCTGGGCGTGACTTGACGGATTGGTGACTTGGACGTTGCCAAGTCGGGACTTTCGCTTTTCATAAAATGGGTTTCAAAGGCTCGGTTACATTGGTTATTGGAATTCGCTGTGGGCCTCCAGATTGTCACCAAGTTAAACTGCCCCAGCAAAGTCTTTTTTTTTTTTTTTGGCCGTAACTGGTGGCTGTCGCGGAACAGCAACAGGATTATAATGACATTCTCTCCGGGGGGAATGGTGAAGACACGGACAGGTTACTGCATGAAAAATTGGACTACTTGACAGTAATTGAACCAGTTGACGTCTTTTGAACATTGGCGACCGCAAAAAACAGCTGTGCCGTGTCGTAAGGCCGATTCAATTGCAAAGTCAATGAGCGCACAGTGGCCGTGGTAGAAAAAGAAATCAATCGACTACCGGTGAAAATACTGGCATTTCACTCCATTTGAACGCAAGCATGTACGTGATTTGCATACCCGTGCCAAGCCAGGTCTACATGTACGCATTAGAAAGCATCAATTGATCCATGTAGAGATGGAAACTTGCTCGGTGACCTCGGGGCATCGTTGCAGCCTCGGCAGGGACACCGGGCTTCATGACAGCATCAATCCCGACGTCGATCTCCCCACACTTCGTTCGTTTAGCTTCCATTCGTTTATTTACGTACCACGGCGAGTGGGCTTTCCCGAGGTTTACAAAATAGCAGCTCCCGATCTGGCAACGTCTCCGGGTTGCCGTGCTCATACTTGAACAATTCCAGTTACTTCAGCCGAACGCCAGCACTGTTGTATTACCAATCTCGATATTGCTGGCGTGGCTGAAAAGTGGATAGATGACTTCTGGAGGACACTTATAAACGATGTCGCCTGGCCGTCTGGACATGTCAATACGCCCGTCTTGGTCCATCTCGCAGCGACAATGAAACAAGACAATCTGTCCGTGGTCCTTGCCGAGCGGCCAACCGGTGCCATTATTCCCGGCCAGACTTTTCACCAAAAGACTACGCCTATACCGTCGCCGGCCGATCTGCAAGATGGCCAAATTCTGGTCGAGACGGTCTATCTGTCCCTGGACCCCGCCATGCGCGGGTGGTTAAACGGTGAGAAGTCAATATCCATGAATCCCAAACAAGACCAGCACCATTGAATGCTGACGAGCCCCGTGGGCAAGACGTCCGCTCCTACCTCCCGCCCGTGAAGCTCGGCGCGGTCATGCGAGGAGCCACGGCAGCCCGCGTTCTCGCTTCCAAGAGCAAGCAGGCAGCCCCGGGAGACTACGTGAGCGCCATGTCCGGGTGGACGGAATACGCCATCCTCGACGAGGGCCAGTTTGAGCCGGCGTCGTCGTTCCCCGGCCTCAACGCCAACGAACCCCAGGACATCCTCTCTGTCCTGGGGCTCACCGGCGCGACCGCCTGGTGGGGAATGACGCAGATCGGCGACCCGAAGCCCGGCGAGCTCGTCGTCGTCTCCGGCGCCGCGGGCGCGACGGGCAGCGTTGCCGGCCAGATTGCCAAGATCAAGGGCGCAACCGTTGTCGGCATCTGCGGCTCCGACACCAAGTGCAGCTGGCTTGTCAATGAGCTCGGGTTCGACGTTGCGCTCAACTACAAGGCGTCTGATTTCAGGGACCAGTTCAAGGCCGCCACCAAGAGCTACATTGACGTGTATTTCGACAATGGTTTGTCCACCCCGTCACTGCGACTCCCGTCTCTCCGTCATGTTTGTCACTGACCAAGGACCAGTGGGCGGCGACATTCTCGACATGTGTCTGGCGCGGGCCAAGGAGCACTCGCGGTTTGTCATGTGTGGAGGAATCAGCCAGTACAACTCGGCCAACCCTGTCGGCCCCAAGAACATTGCCAGGGTGATTACCATGAGAATCAGGATGCAGGGCTTTATAGTGTTTGACCACCGGGACCGCATCCCCGAGATCCGGAGAGAGCTGTCGCAATGGCTGGCCGAGGGAAAGTTGAAGAAGACGGAGACAATCGTCAAGGGCGGACTGGCCGTCGCGGAGCAGGCCTTGGTGGACTTGTACAATGGTTCGAACCAGGGCAAGTTGCTGGTGGAAGTGAAGAGCCCGTCGGCACCTGCATTGAAGTTGTAATAGTGTTCCATTCATGCCGGGCGATGACAAGTTTAATTGATGGAGAAATAATCCACCAGATCGTCCCCGGTCTACGCAGTCGATTGCTCGTCCCATGACTCTGAAACAGTCGCAGTGTTGTCATTATTCCAGCACCATTGCTCGGAGTAATATCAGTGAAGGGAATTTATAAAAATTTTTAGAGAAGGACCATCGTCTCTCCAGTCATGGCTGTTGGCTACGTATTGGAGCTGTTCAGAGGAACAAGTTCGACAGGCAAATTCTGAACCTTCTTATGCCCCAGACTCAATACACGGCCAAGAATCAGTACCAGGGTAAGCTTCCCTCATTGGAGCAAAGCGTCAAGTCCATGTCTGGTGGCGTGGAGGGCGAGCCATGGGTTGGATTGGCCAAGGATCCAACAAGTCAACTGCCGGGGTGCTACTCATATGACGCACCAGACGTCAATAGTTCATCCCAGACCGCTTCCTTTGCTGCGACACGCTCCAGTCTTTTTCAGACGGTCGGGAACCGTCATGGCCGCGTGTATTTGCTGCCAGTATCTGGCCGCGATACCATAGCCCACAAGAATGCCCAATTCCCCAATGTCTGGTCAATGGAGGACATGTATTCCGATTTTCTCTTTTTCTTTTTTCTTTTTCTTTTTTTTTGCAGCATTTGATTGTATCCCGTCTCGATTCCTGCGTGCCGGAGGGGCTAGCGTCCATCTCAAAACCCAGCACACCAGCATCTCGAAACCAATTGCGTCAATTAATTGCCCGAAAAGCTTAAATCCCAGCCATTGACGCTCGTTCCCAAGTACCCGGTACAGGCCCAGGGGGCTTCACGTTTCAACTCGGATAGAAATAGCACAAACTTGACAGAGCTCTTTTATTCTCACTAGAAACATTGAACTCACTGCTCACCAACCTCAGTCCCAGCGTACAGAGCACGAGTATTCTCTCGCCATGGCCGCGCGATGCGACAGCCCCGACTTCTCTGACTTTGAAGAAGTCGACGTTTCCGAGATTCCGCACACCCCGCTGCTATCAAACAGCCATGAACTTTCAGTCTCCTCCTCAACAGGAGATGGCCACCCGCCTTGGCAGGGCCATCGAGACAAACTGGTTGGCCTCGTTGACATGGGAAGGTATTGACATGTCAAGCTCCGCGCGCAGCTACCGCTCACCAGGCGTTCCACTAATCAAAGCTTCGTATTCTTGTCTGCGACTGTAGCAACGGGATTCGATTTTCCATCACCGACCTCTCCGACCCATTGGCCCGAATTCTCAATCCCGTCATAGTATACCGCTCGTCCATCTCCCTCTACGATGCGCAGTTTGACCCCGAGACCGGGGACCAGATCCCCATACCCGAGACTACCATCGCCGCCGTGTGCGAAGTCCTCCAACGCTTCATGGTGGTGTGTAAAGACTTTGACGTCCCCGAGGAGCACATCTACCTTGTGGCCACGGAAGCCACCCGCCTGGCCAAGAACTCGGCGCAGCTGCTCCAATCCATCAAAGAAGCCACCGGCAAGAATGTCGAGTTGATTGAAAAGGAAATGGAAGGCGAGATAGGCGCGCTGGGCATTGCAAGCGGCTTCCTGACCATGGAAGGGCTCGTCATGGATCTCGGCGGAGGCAGCACCCAGATTACCTGGATCATCAGCCGGCAGGGCCACATCAGGACGAGCACAAACGGGAGTTTTAGCTTTCCATACGGAGCGGCGGCCCTCACCAAAAGGCTCGACGACATCAGGAAGGGAAAGGATGAAAAGGACGCCGACCACGCGGTAGAGCAGCTGCGCAAAGAAATGGTGAGTAATTTCAAGGACGCGTACCAGCGGCTTCAGGTCCCGCAGGCCATGGTGGAGGAGGCGCAGAGAGAAGGCGGATTCCGAATCTATCTCTCTGGAGGCGGCTTCCGAGGATGGGGTTACCTACTTCTGTACCTCAACCAGTCCCAAGGACAGCACTATCCCATATCAATCATCAACGGCTACACCGTGGGAAGAGAGCAGTTTGAAGACACAAAGTCGATAGAAAAGGCTGCCAAGGCGGCTCGTGATATATTTCGCATCTCGGATAGAAGACGCTCCCAGGTCCCTGCCGTCGCGTTTCTGGTCAATGTTCTTGCCGAGGCGATCCCTCTTGGGGTCAGGGAAGCGCATTTCTGCCAGGGTGGTGTGCGAGAGGGATACCTGTTCAGACAACTTGCCGCGAGGATCCGAAGAGAGGCCCCTCTCGAGGTCATCACGAGGAATTTTGCACCGGGATCCAGGCTCCAGATCCAAGAGCTCATCAGGGGAGCCATCCCAAAGCCGTCCAAGGACGCTACCAGGAGATTCCCGCCAGACTTTGGCGGCCATGTCATGGAGGCCTTTACCAACGTCATGTACGTCCACATGTTCATGTCCAAGGAGACGGCTTCCACGGCGGCGCTTTACTCGACGAGCTCCGGGATCCTGGCATCTACGCTTGGCGTGTCTCACCAGGACCGCGCGCGGCTCGCACTCATGCTGCAAGCTCGGTATCGCGGGGAACTGCCGCCCCGCGAGGTGGAATTCCGCGATGCCCTCCGGAGCATCATCAGCCCAGAGGACGTCTGGTGGGCTCAGTACCTGGGACGGGTTGGTTTTGTTATAACCTGCTTGTATCCTACGGGCAAGGTGGACCCGGCCAATTTGAAGGTTCTCTTCTCCTCGTCGTGGTCGTCGACTCTGGGGAAGAAGGGAACCAAGGAAGGCCTTGTGCTCAAGATTTCTATTCGAAAGGTCAAGCACGACCCGGAGAAGTTGAAGAAGCTGGTGACGGATAACTTGAAAGTAATTGAAAAGGCGGGGAAGAAGAAGAATTGGGCTGGCAAGGACCAGTCCTGGGGGATGAAAGTTGAAGTGAGGGTAGCTGAGGAACAAATACTATAGAGCGACAATTATAACCAGATTTGGTGCTACTTGGTATAGGCGGTAAGGAAGGATGAAAATTCTGGGCATGTGCGAGTATTCATACGATATTCAGGGTAAAGGTTCCTGGCGATGGAGGAATGGGCATGAAAAGAATCATCTTCTGTACCTAACCTCGACATTCTACAGCTCAAGCCTTTGCAACATGGACCTCAGTGGAAAGCTCTCTTGTCAAATTTCCTCTCCAATTCGACTTCCTTCTTTAATTCAGTACAGCTCTTGCAAAATATCAGGCGTGTAGTCAATGCTATTCGCCCTGTTCATTATTGCCAAAATCTCTCGCTTCGCCTCGAGGCTAAGCTTACCTTGAACCCTTTTTTCATCAAGAGAGCCTCAACTGCATCAAATCCCTCCGTAGAATGTAGTCTGATATCGCAGTTTTGAAGGCAGTGGATGAGCGTGAAGGAACACTTCCCTTCCTCAAGGCCTTCCGCAATCTCTTTCGCCTGAGCATATCTCCTGAAGCAAGGGTCTGATAGTCGTCGCGAGTCTGGAAGAACCGTCCGATCAGGCAACCAAATAGATTCATATCGCCGTCTGAAATCCTTGCTCTTGTTGTGCTTTCAGCAATCATCCTGGTCAACATACGAAATAGACCACCTGTATTCACATCAACCTGGTCAGATACTCAGCGACAGTCGGACATGGGGTATGGTGTGTCCAGTAGAGATCAAAACTGTGCCCCACGAGCAGCTGGTGCATCTCCTCAATGAAGATGGAGATATTTTCTGGATTCTGAAGCTCTGTGGCTTTACCCGTCGCTGCAACATATTGAGACGTAATGAAGGACGGCTTAAAAAGCATGAGGTTGTGGTGTTCAGGTATAAATAGCTCAGGAATATCTGGTGCCTATTGCCTTGTTTATTTAATTACTCCAGTCAGCATACGCCGAAAGCCACTCACGAGTTGTCTACCAATGCAGCAGCATGTCTTTGGGCCGCATAATTGCATAATATTATTTACCTCGGTTACTTCTTGTATTCAAATATCGGATATTGCGAATCTAACAAACTCCAGAAACATGTCGGTATATGCAGTGAGATGAATAATTGGCTTGCAGCGCTAAGCAAAATATTGTTCAGGAAAATTATTTGGCTCGGTAAGCCCCAACTCGAAATAGTTCTGTGGTTCATAAATACGGGTTCTTTGGAGTCCGTAGTAATCAGGCAAGTACGATTCTCTATGCGTATGCCCTGAGTAAAGAATGCTGGATATTTAATAGAACCTCTACTTTATCTACGATTGATCGACCTCGGAGAGCCTTTTTGTGGGCTCCTTTTTGATTTGATTCGCTCTTGTGCGTCACCTAGGGAGAATACTGGTCTTTTGTCATGAAAAACTGCATGCACATGCGAAGGAGTCGCATGGCGCCGTCTCACAGCAGCGCAATTAATGCTCACATTATATCTGGGACTGATACAAACGCTGCACATAAGACGAGTCAAATATTGGAAGCTATGACATGGGACATTTCCATCTTATAGACGCCCCGGTAGTTGGATAACGCTGGGGGCTGGATGACTAGTTGGAATGTATTGAATTATGACCTGTTTTGGCCTGGAACTCGGCTAAATCAAGGGGATGAGCTGTTCAAACCATGCCGTCTTCCTTCTGGCCTCTAGCAATGTCCCCTTCATATAGCGGTGGGCAGCACGTAGGTTAACTACTCGATGAATTGGTCTTCTTGCACAGCAGACTAGAACCATTTCTAGGTTTTCCGACCGTGAATGTTTTTTCTACGTAAAAATACCATGTTTATACCATTGGTCTGGGACAATAGTGGTCTATGCATAGCTTGATATGACGGATGGTCGAGACACGCTTCGCAAATCGCAATTTCTGCAGAGTACCAGGTTCAAGTACACGACATTTAGTTTAAAATTTCAGTATGATATTTTCAGTTTGAGTAGTCGTAGAGTGATCCCATGAGGGGGCATAGCGTTGACGTGATACTGGTCCTTTGATGAGGCTGTTGCATATTTAGACTGACCACGGAGACGGCCACGTACATGCCCATGAGACATGCCACATGATGGATTAACGCATGTGGCCTGGACAGAGAATTGCATCTTCTTTTGCATCTATTGCACTCGGTGGAATTGTCATACTTGCTAGTATTATGTTAGCTGCTTGGCGTCGCTCCCTTTTGTCCTGCAAGTCCAGACTGGTCTTTGTTTTCATCTTCATAAAGTGCTGCTATTTTTGTCGCCATCTACGATACATCTGTCCTCGGCCTTGAATTACATGCTACCCATGGAGCTGAGGAGGTCTCACCTTGTCAGACCACATGACTCGCGTCTTTTCACGGTCTTGCGAAGCTCATGCAGACACTACGTTGAATGGATTTTCACACGGCTCCACGAGTCTAGAAAGCCACAGTACTTCGATACGTATATCCAGTTTTTGCCGTTGATTCTCATGTCGCTCTCCATCCTGCCCTCCATCCTCTACATTCTTACGGATCAGTACTGCCTCGCTGCAGTCTCTTCCACGCAACCACGGCACTGTGAGACCATGGAGAGGCCGTCCTTCGTAAAAGTCGGCTTGAGACAGAGGTCATCACAGCTTCGGGGGCTTGGACTGCCACGCCCATGGGCAAGAATGTTGAAATCGCATGTCAGGCTTGTATGTCTCTCTCTGCGGCACAAGCGAGCAACAGCCTGCTTTCAAGTTGTATGAGCTGACGGAAATGCACTTGTCCGTCAATGGGAAACACAAGGATGCCACTGACGGGTACCCAACCATGGTTGTGCCGAACTTGACGTTGGTTATGGTGCCCGTGACTGAGAAAGTCGTGGCTGAATTTGCAAGTCGCAGACTCGCCATGGCGCCTGCATGTGATACGTCATGAATGTCTACTGGTGTAGAGAAAAAGGTATAACTGTGATTGGACATGAGCCTCGAATGGCTCTACGAGCCACGCGAAACGTTGGCACGAGAACGATAGGTCAAATTCGCCAGCAGCCACGCCATGCCAATCATGGAGGAGGACGGTGTCACCATGCGCGGCAAGCCATCAAGATCTGGATGGGCAGGCTCAAGTCTGTTGAGAATAGCCCCCGTGGCACGCCACCAGATTATACGCAACACTGCCACGGGCTGATTGCTGATCAGTGCTTGTCCAGGAATATCTGGTCGCCGCCGATAGCGATCTTGGACGGTTGATGGAGAGTCAGACCGGACGTCTGATGGGCTCTCGATGGCGCTCGCCACAAGTTGCTCGTGCTGCTGCCGCCATTTTGAAGATCTACAACGTTATGCACCAAGACTGGGCGTACTACTGCTAGCTTCTTGGAGTCGACGAGTTGGACGGTGTGCACTCGAGCGGGAAGGATCATCTGCTCACGAGAGCTTCGAAATGGGCCGATATGGGGAGACGATCAATTGATGCTCCTTTACCGCCTGGCTGTCCATCCTGGCACCTCGCTTACCGCCAGAGCCCATACCAAGGTCGACCGGAGGCCTGCTGGTGGGAAGATGGCTGCCAAGTTGACATGGAGCATGTCATGACACATTCAGGGTCTACATACACCCGTCGACGGTACGTTGGATTTGGCTTCTGCACGTTTGAGAAAACTTGCTCGAAGCGGTTAGGTCTAGTAACTTTGCGTGGCACCTCGAGGAGAATGGGAGAGGTAGACGGAATGTAGATTCCTCCACACTAGGTTTCCAAAATGATGCGGAGAATGGGCAGAGAAATATCAAAGGATTATAGAAGCAGTATTAGATTTTGATCTTTTATTATTTGATATGGCAATTTTACAGTAGGGAATTTGTTTTGGAGGCTATAGTCATAATGATGACTTGATAAGTATACTGTCCTTGCATCTTGGCACCACATGGTTCCAAATATGCAGCTTACTCCATAGTTATGGGATGGCTTCTTGATGCCAGGATGCAGGACCAAAGTCCCAATGGTCCGGCCGGGGGTGGTCAGACGTCGGCCTCGTCATGGCTGGGGTACGAAATACGTAGAGTCAAGGACGTCTTCACCCGAGGTGGCTTCCCAGCGTCAAGGAGACCGGAGCACTTGGCCACAAGGACTCTGTGCGAAATGAAGCAATAACGGCCATCTGAATCACCATCACATAGGAGCATGTGGCACCCAAGGACCGAAATTACGCACGTCTTGGCGTTCCCGAGGGAGCGGATGATCGACAAGGGAACAGGCCGCGGTGCGACACAAGACGCGCCACTCGAGACCGGCTCATGTATTCAATGTTGCTTCTTCGTCGTCGGTCCATGTCTTCACCATTCAATGTTTCCACTTTTTTCTTGGACGTGGCTGACCTCGGCATTGTACGACAACCTGAACGCTGTCTTGGTTTCCTTTCTTTTTCCTCTTCATTCTTCTTTTTTGCTTTTCCTTGTTTGCGCCAACTCGTGTTGTTGCCCCATTTGTGCGCAATGTCACGACGGCAGATGACAGATCGCGAAATCAACCAGACTCCAGCAACAAGTGTCGACTCGGCTTTGGTCGCGGCCCAACGGCGGCACAGGATTCGGCCCGCCGCCCAGGTGTCTTGAGATGGAAGAGCGCAGCAATGACCCTTGATGCAATCTCGGATCCCGTCGCCGATCAAGGGCCGACCATGGGGTGCATAAATAACCTCCTCCTCGCCTCCCATCGAGCATGGCCGTCGTGAGGGGGAGCAACTTAGCCTCCATGCCCACACCTTGGTCTCATTCTCATCTCCCCCAAGCAACATGGTTACACTTGAATTTGAAGACGCTCCCTCTCTGCACCATGCCCGTAAAGAGAGGCAGCGTGCCGGGCCCGACACGGCGCCTCCGACGGAACATGAGCACGTCGTGGCCTCGTATGGGAGGCGGCAGCGCCTACTGAGCGCCTACATGGCACGGCACTACGGCAGCAGCTGGAGTACGAGCAAGGGCATGAGGAGAATCGCCCGGCGGCTGGGACGGTGGCCGAGAGAGCCGCAAGCCAGGACCGACACCGAACAAGAATTTGCGCGCCTCCTTACTGCCCACAGCCTCGTGGGCATGGACGCCGCCAGCATTGGCATTCTGGTATGGGACCAGATGTCGCCCACGCCGGACACGTTCGATGCCACAAGGCTGCAGACTGCCGGGACCAAGGATAGACGAGGCCAGTCCGAGCCGCTGATGGTCCGGTCGGGCGGGCTCGGAGACGGCGTCATGCCGTTTTGCTGCGACAGCCTGTACGACTACGAGGAGTACGCCGACAATGGCAAGGTGCTGTGGAGGACCACGGCCACCTGGGACCACATCTTTGACGAGGCGGCCTATGCGAGAAAGGATGCCATGTGTCAGGCCGAGGTGGACGAGTCCAACGCCGACGACTGGGGGGTTGCCGCCGGCTTTGCTCGCTACGAGCATGGGCTGCTGCGGCACCCCAAGTACAGACTGCACGGGAACAAGGACCTGGGGAAGCAGTTCGTGTGCCTGTTCAAGGGCAACGAGCGGCTCTACGACTGCAGCCAGACGGTAAGCGCCCTGGCGCGCGCCGCGCAGATCTCGCCCCTGGCCTCGACGTCGATCCGCGTGACGGAATACAGTCTGTACACGGGGGGCCCGGTGGCCGTGCCGCCGCCGCACTCCTTCACCTTTCCCTCGCATGTGGTAGTGCCCAACCTGCAGCTGGGCGAGGCCGGGTGCGTCCATCTCGACGGGGTCGAGGTCAAGAACACCAAGCGACACCGCGCCGAGGCGATATCCATGGCGCAGCCGCGCCGCGTGGCCGACTTCTTGCGGGCCGGGGATGTCTCGCCGTGCTTCTACAACATGTGCATCGTGGCCGGGCGGCTGCGGTACGACTGCCTGGACATGATGATGGGCAGCTACGCATTCACCATGGCCGACTACGCCGACAGGTTCGGCGCGGACAAGACGGCGGCCACGCACGGCTGGGCCGACGCCGTCATCAACAGCTTCGTGAACCCCCGGGCGGTCCACTACAACATCGAGTCGTCCATGTGCACGGCCGACGTGATTGTGCAGCGGCTGATTGACAACTACGAGGGCGGCGCGCTGCCGTCGCCCGGGGAGCTCTTTGACGCGCGCTGGATCGACGGCGCGCTGCCGCAGTTCATCGACCTCGCCCTGCGGTGCCAGCTCGGCGGCGGCACGTACAAGGGCTGGTACGACAGCAGCTGCGTCTACGTGCGGCAGGCCCTCGACAGCGTGGCCACGCTGCACGACGTCTGGGACCTGATGGAGGACACGGCCGGCGGCGAGGGCGGCAACATGTGCCGGCTCTACACCAAGGAGGCGCTCTGCCACGTGGCCGACTGGTGTCACGACATCGGCCGGCGCCTGGCCGAGTGCGACTGCGGCGACGGCATGCACGGCTTCGGCTACGTCTGGTTCCTGGTCAGCGAGCTGTACTACATCACCATCGCCAGATGGGGCCTGCTGACGGCGCGCGGACGCGGCCACGCGCCGCTCAGCTACCACAGCCGGGAGCCGTGGCTGACGGACGGCACGCCGTACTGGACGACCGACGTTGCGCGGGCCAAGGCGGCGAGGACGCGGCTCGTGGAAGCCATGATCGGGCGTGCGAGCCGCGACCTGGCCGCGCTGGCCGTGGCCCCGGACGTCGACGCCGAGATGCGGAATCTCATGCGCATGTGGGGGAGCGTTTCCAACAGGACGCTCGCCGACAGCGTCCAGATGCACTACCACATGAGCAACGCCGTCGCGGCCTGCGCGCCGATGGGCGTGCGCCGAGCCGACGTCGACTGGAGGACCTGGGTCGAGGTCTACAACGCCCTCAGCTACGAGGTGTCCTTCAACCCGGACAGTCCGTACCGCTGCGTCACGTCGCGGTACGCAGACGTGCTGCGTGTCGAGCTTCGCAGCAAGGGACGCATCGCCCACGCCATCAACACGCAAGTCACAGACGAGTACGCGTGCCATCAGAGGAATAGCGGAGGCACCTCGGCCTATGCGGATGAGGAGTGAAAGGGGGCATCAGCTATAGTCGGGGAGCAAGGGCCAATAGATTGACGCGGCGGCCGCATGGCGGAATAGGCAATACGTCCATGTATCTCACACTTGATGACATGTCAAAGAATATAGTTTTGTGTCAACGTACTTGAGACCGTCTTGGCACGTCTACCGAGCATAGGCGGCCACGCTGCCTATTGGGTTCCCTTTTGGCCCAAAACAAAACAAAGGGCGGTTCAGAGTCATGGACCGTAAGTCATGTTTGCATTGATAGAGTCGTGGTCACGGAGCAGAGGTCCGACCATGGCGGAATGCGGATCTCTGTCTCATCTGTTAGTACCAGACCTCTTACCAGCCCACACGCCTCGTCCGGGACAAGACACCAGCTCCTTCTCTGCCGTCACCGTGGAAGAATATTGGCCACGGCCTCGGGTCCGCCGTTCCACTGACCGGCAGCATTTGTCTAGCAACAATTTACGATTGCGCCTGGCAGCCGTCATGAAGCCGCATTCAGCACAGCGCGCGCCGCCCGAACATGGGCTCGATCAGGCGCCGCCAGGGTGCGGAATGGATTGACGAAAGCGTGTGCACGAACGAGGCCGCACGAAAATACACACAGCTTCGCTCATGGCATTGTATCGGGGCCAATGACGGAAATGCGGTCAAGGAAAAAGCAAACATACTGTGTACAATACGTGAGCAGGAAAAGGCTGGCGCCACATTTCTGCCAATCCCCTCGGGGGGGCATGTGGCCGCTCTTGGTCCTTGGACTTGGAAAGCTTGCCTTGCTTGCTGCCCGGGCAGTGTAGAGCCTGGTGTCATTTATCCTCTCGCCGTGTCACCGACTCTTGGACCCTGACCTTGTTATTTTTAACACGAGACATTGAACCCTTGGAATCTCGACGCCGATACGACCCTCGCCAGCCATGCCGACCCCGCGGGCAGACGAGCCGGATGCCGTCATGGGCGACGGCATCGACAAGCACGACGAGGCGCGCCTTCATCCGCTGTGCGATTTCGAGTTCACCTTTGAGTCGTCCACGCTGCTGATCGAACCTGATGTACGCTCCCATCCTGATGCCCGTCGGGAGGCGTTTGCGCTGACGTGATGTAACAACAGTCTGGGGAGAGGTGAGAATGAATTTCCCCCCCGCCGCGCGCCGCCATCAATGGGCAAAAGGGATATATGGACATGGGGCACATGGGCCGTCGAACTTTGCAAAAGCATTCTAATACCAACCAGTATCCATCTTCAGTAGCGAAGTCAGCTCGTTTTCGGACGCGTCCCTCACCAACAGCGTGTTGGAATACCCCAAGTTGTTTGGCCGCACCTACCACGCCTTTCATGCCGGATGTATGAGCTGCCCCCGTCGTCCATGTGTTACGCGGTCCCTTGGCTGATGAGACTCGTGAAGCCTACGTTTTCCCAAACGACGAGAAGGAACAGGAGCGGCTGGCGCTGCAGGGCCCCATCATGCAGAAGCTCATGGGGGGCAAGTTGCACTTTGCGCCCATTTGCTCGCAGGACTATCCGCACTTTATCCTCGACATCGCCACGGGCATTGGCGACTGGGCCATCGAGATGGCCGACGAGTTCCCCGACGCGCGCATTATTGCCACGGACCTGTCGCCGATCCAGCCCAACTACGTGCCGCCCAATGTCCGGTTCTATGTCGAAGACGCGTAGGTCCATATGCGTGCTTGTGTCTTTTTTTTTTGCTCTACAAACAGGTCTGGTATCCTTCTGGTCAGGACGAGTACTAACACGGTTTCGGTGCAGGACGGAGCCGTGGGACTTCCCCCACAAGTTCAACTTTATACACACCCGGCTCACGGGCGGCTGCTGGGAAGACTTTGAGAAGCAAATCGCCGCGCAGGCCTTTGACGCCCTCGAGCCGGGGGGCTGGTTCGAATCCCAAGAGGTCGACTGCAACATCTCGTGCGACGACGGCACGCTGGACCCCTGCGGTCCCATCGTCTCGTGGATCAGCGACCTCATTCTCGCCGCGGACAAGATGGGCCGCCCTACGCTCCTGGGCCCCGTCCTCAAGAGGGCCTACGAGAACGTGGGCTTTGTCGACGTCCAGCAGCGCGTGTACAAGATGCCCCTCAACTCGTGGCCCAAGAATCGCTATCTGAAGCAGGTCGGGCTGCTCTGGGGGCATAACCTGGTCGAAGGGCTGTCTGCCTTTTCCTATCAACTGCTTCATCACGGGTTTGACCGTTCGGCCGAGGAGATTGAGGTGAGTTGGTCGGCGCATGGGCATGGGCATGGGCATGGACTCGAGCTGACACGGCCATCTGTCTGTAGGCATCTCTTGTCGACGTCCGTCGGGACCTTTCCAACACTTCGATCCACGCGTACATGCCGACGTTTGTGGTTTGGGGTCGGAAACCGTACCCCCATGAAGTCAGGGCGAAGGCGCTGCCCAGGGGGAGAGTGGTCTTTGGGGCAACGTGACTATTTTGCGTCCGAGTAGCAAAATAAATTGCCGTCATGTTTGTGTATTATAAAGCGCTTGGCGTCATCGACTGTCCTAATTTTTTTTTTTCTTTTTTGGAAACAAGGGCCGGACATAAACTGATCATGAATGGTGTTTTTTGGGCAAAGTAGAAAATACCCCGCTAATGAGGACGGATACGAACGACTGGAGGAAGGACGGAGTTTATGATTCTCCAACAGGGTCAATAACTGGTCAGGGTAGTTTAGTGGTAAATATAGGGAGGGCATGCTATTGACTCGTATTCACTGCCTAGTTCCTTGCTATCAAAGCACGCATTTACTCGCGAGCTAGTCTAGCGTGTCAAGTGGCCAGGTGCTTTTGAGGAGTGAACATCGTATGCCTCACATATGGCGGTAGGGAGGACGTCGGCGAATCCTCCAAGCAACCACGTGCTAATCTACCGGCGGCGACATGTACATTTTTGATAAATCAAAGAATCTCTTTTTTTCTTCATCATTTTCAACCAAAGTTGTAAAACTCAAGCAAGGAAGCGACGATGGTGTTATTTGGTGCCGCTTCCCTCGTCGGATCGTGAAGTATTTCTAAACGCATCACCATGCTCGCATCCCAGTTGACGTATGCGCGAGACTTTTTACTTTTCTGTTTGAAAAAAAAAAAAAAATAATCGTCTTCGCACCCGACCAGAGGGGACTAGCTCGTCATCTGCAGCTCCGTATTATGCCCGCGTCTGTGCATAGCTGCCGAGAGGGGTCAACAGGTCTTTTTTCCGTTGTGCATAACATCTTCACCGGAACGCAGGTGGCTAATCAGAGTGATTAGGGATCGAAGGCCCATTCTATTGATGATGAATCGTGCCGAGTGCATCAACCACAATCACATTCGTGGCGTCTTCTTGCCAGCGAACATGCTACGTACTTTGGATCCTTGCCGTGGCGTGTACTCCGTATACAGACGGCCATGGGTTGGGCAGTCAGGGTTCAAAGTCCAACGCCTTTTTCTTTTCTTTTTCCGTTTTTTGCTTATTTCTTTGGCGTGTCTCTTGGAGTCGGCGGGAGTAGTAATGCGAGGCGTCCTCTGCTCCGCCAGCCCGGGTACAGGGAATCGGTGCCCAATCCCGCCGTGTGTACTCCGTATGTTACAACGTCATCTTCTCATCACCCCCATTCTCGTCCCCCCACAAGCCGAGACTGCTGACAGGAGGTCGGCAATGAATGGCTAGCGTCCGGGGCAGGCGACGTATCTCCCCCGCTGGTTTGGGCGCGGCCAACGAGTCGAGATACATACTCCGTAGTTGACATGGAATTGCCTACCCTGGGGAGGTAGACAGGGAGTGTTCGCGCGCCAACACGATGCAAGAAACCATGGAAGCAGTGTACTTGAGCCTTTGAAAATCCTCGTCAACCTGTCCATACAACGCACAAAGTTGTTGCTGAGTCTGCTTGGGGGAGTGAGGAGTCACGACCTGGGTCTGAGCGGCGTTTCTCAGCATCATGGCGCATGAAGCGCATTTTGTTTGCTTCACACTACAGTCTTGGAAATGATTTACATTCCATGTCTCTTTTGCCCAAGTCACAGGGTGAAACAGGCCCTTTGATAGCAAACAAGAGCTACAGGCCGCCGACCACCGGCCCTCGCCAAAACAAAGAGCACTAGAGCATCGTGGGTGATCTGGTGCCCAAGCTGCCCGGGTTGCTGGGCGGTGGACACTGGAGGCGCCGATGATCATTCCCGCGAATCCCGACTGCCCCAGTCGCCAGGCAGGGTCTTGCTGGGCTGGAAACGAAATACCGGCCGTGGCAAGCTGTCAGATGTCGGCAATGCGAGAATCCGCTCCTCTGTACTCGGTAGCGCGGTTCCAGCCAGCAATAATGTTCCGGGGACGCCACGTCACCTCCCATAACGAGATGACCCAGAGACATATCCCAGAAGTACGGAGTCGCATTTCCGGGATCGACCCCGAGACCCATGCATGCATGCATGATCCGAGGGTTTGGCTCGCGGCGTCATGCTTTACAGGGCCTAGACTTGGTTCAGATGATGGGCGCCACCCTTAAGGCTCTGTACACAGTGTAATTACCGTCGGGCATGAGAAACATTGAAACATTGATCAATTCATGGCTCGATGCCCTGTGGCGTTTGACCCCGCACCTCGACGGGATTTGTTCTGTGGCCGTTGTTGTTTATTTGCCCTTTGGCGTTGACTATCTCGTTGTATTGTGTGCGTTTGGCGGCATGGCGTGCGGATGTGTGGTTGCATAATTGTGCCACCCAAGTCCTGCTTGTCATGTCTGGTTGGATTTGCCACAAGACACTCGCTTGATTACATCACGAACCCCAAATCGGGAAAGAGAAACACGTACAAACGACTACACTGCTACATGTAAGCGTGTATTGACCAGCAGGACAATCTGTTTGCTACTACTCAAAAGATGAAGACGAAAGGTTGTCATTGATGCACAAGTCCATATGGACATACAATTTGATTTGATCAGGAAGTTATTGGATAGAGCGACAACACTATATTTGTTATTAAAACCTCACAGGAGGCATTGTAGACGGACGAGTCGCTCTGTTGGGCGTCTTTCAAATCAGGCAAAATGCTGTTTATAATTTACTACTCCAACATCACAGTATAGAAGAGAATATCCGGGTCGGGGTGCTATGGCTGGCCTATGAAAGACATGTAGGCCGCAAACATTACTCGACCTTGAATTGTTTCAAGAGAGGAAGACCGAATTGTCTCCTAACACACGTCAAAGATGAAGACGTCCGTGGTCTTTCTGAATTGCTTCATACTTTTATCCCCCTCAAGTCGCTTCTAGTTGCCTGGGTGGAACTTGGTGGCGACCAAAGAAGCTTGAGTCCCAGGCCGTCACATTCACATGAAAAGCTTTTGCGTCGAAAATCATGGGCGACATCCTAGATATGGCAAGATTTGCAGAAACATAATGTTTCCTTTCTTTGTTAACAGCAACCCTTGGTGCCTGACTAGAATGTATTGTTTGACAGAAACGGAAAGAAGCAAGAGCTGCAAGACCTGGAGAATATTGTCGGACTTTGACCCAAGGATTTAAACTTCATAGCCCAACAGAGGCTCACTTTTGCAAGACCTCTCCTGCCCTGAGGAACATCAAGTACACTGGAAACCCAGGGTTGTACAGAGAAAGCATAAACGCTGCGTCTATTCTTGTATTCTATAGTGTTGGCAAATATTCTAGCACAAAAACTTGTAAATCTTTTTCCACCTTGGCCACATGGCCCTTTGTTCTCTCTCTAGAGACTCGAGAAGAAGCACATTATAGTCCCGCCGCCCTGTATCAAGGTCGACCTCCCCAGGCCGCACGTATCTAGTCCCGTGGATAATCTTATGGACCACAAAAAAGATGAGCATCAAGACACCACTCAACAGTTTTAGCACCGCATTTCTTGCCAACTCCACAGTGGCCAATGTCTGATAATCAACTGGAGCAATGGCAACCCAAATCTGCACGAGAATAATGGCGACATTGACAAACAGGCCGAAATACGACCCTGCCACGCCGACAGAAGAGCGGTATGGAAGTTCATAGAGGCCGCGTCGTTGCGACAGCCATGCAGAGCGAAATCGGATGTGGCAAAGACAAATGGTCCCCCACGTAAAAACA